AAAAAATTACAACATAATTCCATTAGACGTGTTTTTCAGTAAAGTAGTAACGCCATTTTAACAGAACGGAGCGACAGAGTTCTATGTAGCTTAAAATAATCCCAAACAGTAGCTTGACAAAGTAAAAAATAAAAAAATAGTCTAAATAAAATCTAAACTAATTAAAGTTACAGTCAACGTAATACGTACATTCTGCATGTGTTGTGCAATAATCGAACAGTAGATCTTATCGTAACCGTTTAGGAACAAACTTCTTGCTGACTTAACAGAACGTTTACTAGAGACTGACTTATTGTTTCCACTCCTCCACGTAGCCGCCCAGCCATGTTATGCTCCCCTAGACGCAGTGACGCGGCGTAACATGTGCAGCGCAGTTACAAATGTTAATACTATTGTGATTCGTAGGATGTTTCCTCAACGATAAGTCAGCGAGAAGCACAAATTGTAATTAAAAAAGTAGATATTTATAGTATATGTCCATAAATGTGTCTCATTTAAAATGTGGTGTCTATTCTGTGTTAGAGATACTTAATGATAGGTGACTGAGTGGCCGGTGATAGGATGAGAATATTTTTTACAAAAAGTATAGATTTGGTGAAGTAAATTCAAAATTCAAATCTATCGGGTCGGGCGCCGAAGGCCCGCGCGTTGGTGATATTTTGGAAAATGTGACTAAAAGAAGCAATACTGTAATGTAATACGTCTTACTCTTTATTTAGAACTTTAAGGTGTATTTTTATTTGAAATTAATTAATAATATATCTATTGTGAATGTAGTTATTGATTTCATGGTGATATTTAGAGCGGTATGTTATCTTTTTTATGATGTATAAAGAATTCTAATTTGTAAATAGGTACTTAATTGAGTATGTAATCTGTAAAAATATTGTACATATCTTTACGCTTGAATTATTTATAATGTAACCCGATAAGGATTTTAGGATAACGATGAATTGTAATATATCATAATTGAAGGGATTTTACCGAGAGGTTTTTATCGTTTGGGTATAGACTGAACAAGGAATAAACTAAAATGTTTGGTGTATATCCAAACGGCTTTCCGACTGTCGCGTAAAATGAGGTTATCAACCATTTGGCGGGAAAATCGTTTTGAGTGACAGCTCTTGACATCCATAGACTTCAGCTTCTAGATTTCTTTAGAGAGCTTACAGTGTACGATCTTCACACGAAGCATTTACATGTAGAACTGATTTCCTCGTAATGCATTTAATTTGTATGTAGATATGGTGCATAGACCCCATTAAATACTCTGAATGTGTATAGATAGTCAACAGTCATACTCTGTTAGTCGGGAGAGTGCGTGCTGACCACGCGAGCATGTACGATAATAATAGAAAGTATTCTAATGGAATATGTAATAAAAGTATTAAAATATAACACACTGGTTTCATTTATACCTTGTATATAAATAAAATACGAAGTTTGTATTATAAAAATAATTTATTTCATATACAAATAAATTTTAGGTGCTTATATACAACTAGTGATATGTTTCACAATGGAATAGACTCGTTTAAACAAACAAATCAACAATAGTTATATACAAAAAATATTAGCACAACGAATATATCTTGTTTACTATAAATATTACTACACGATAGCCTATGTTGTACAAAATGCGAAGTGATAGCTTCAACGACATACAAAGCATTTTCTAAACACACCCATTCTGTTGTACGACAAAATTAAATTAAATAATCAGAATATACAAATGTCTCAAGAATCTAATATTTAATTAAAACAATAGAAGCTTTATCTTGATTCAAATGTAATTCAAAATCAATTACATACACTTTGTTTAATAAATCAAATATTTACAACTAAAAATATTAAAATTACGGAGCACGAGGTTAAATTCACGATAATCACTGTAGTTCCAATAATCAGTTGCTAGACAGCATAATCCTTTCGAAGTACCATTTGGAACTATAAGTATTGAAAACGATTTGTTTTTATTTGTAACAGTTTTTAGTAAATAAATGTAATAATATATTTTATTTTTATCAATAACTTCGTTTCACAATAGCTTCTTACAATCCATTTAATGGACAGATCGTGTCGTAGCTCGCGATTAATACAATGACGTACAACAGAATCGACTTTTACATACTTATTTGGCAAATATCACCCAATCATAGTCATGGTAATAATCTACCGTGACCATACCTCATACAAAAATGACCATTCAATGGCGACTAAGGCCTACATTTGCCTCTTAAAGCGCGTATTAAAAATACATTCTAATTTACATTTGGAAGTCATAATTACTACCTACAATTTATATGACATCAATATATTTATCTACTACAGTATACATTTTAACACTACAGTTACAATTTTAGCATATTCATAATCACACTGACGGTGTGCATCTCTGTCTACTCCTTTTGAGATTAAAAGGCGTGATGTATTATTATTTTATTATGCTATACATAAAGAAAACGATAAACCAATTTTAGTAAATAATTTTTGAACATTACCAGTCACTGGGTTTACAGGAAATTTACTCAAATAGACGTAAATATAACTTGTTTATAAATAAATATTCTACTTTAATTTGTATGGACACTATTAATACCTTAGTTTAACAAAATATTTCTTCCTACGTTATACATAAATTAAATAATTTTCTAAGATGACTAATAATTATGCTCTCGACATTTTTAAACGAAAATGCAACAAATTAATAATAATTATATTACTCTAATAATATTATGCTAAACACTTTTGGAATTAACTGAATGTCAAGTTCAAAAACTACCCTTATTTAGTACGGGATTAGGGTGCAGTTAAATAAAATATCTCAAATATGAAATTAAACTTTGACTGAAAATTTATAAAATAGTCAGAACATATAATATGAAACAAAATGGCCAGAGTTATGTTAACCGTTTGAATGCCCGTATATAAGACACAATAGAAAATATATTTTGTCTCGCGTGGATCCGCGTATAGGCATAGGATGGGTTAAAACCAACCATTGTTAATAGAAAGTCAAAGACTATAGTCAGAATTTTAATTAGATTCCAGATTTGACAATGGCTACTGTCATTTTGTGAAATAATGATACCACATATAGTAGTGTAGTGATGCACACAAAAATCGATAAACAATCAGTGTGTGTTTTATAATAAATGTTACAGAAAGTGACAGGATAGCGATAGCGATGACGGCGACAATTTATAAAATAACTTATTACCATAATACATCTATCTGGTTTATTTGTCATGTTCCTTCATGATTACATTTTTTTATTTATTTCACACACAATTATAAAAGAAAAGTCTCAGATCGTTAATTAATCGTCAAAACTAAATTATCGGTTCAGAAATATTTGATTTCCTGATATAATTAGTTTACGAGAGTAAAATTATAAACGAGAAGAATCGATCCATAAATATTGCATTTCCATATCGAATAATTTCGCAACGTCACTATTTAGTACTTGTCATAACGTTGCAACACTGAAATTGTCAAATCTGGAATCGAATTAAAATTCCGAGTATAGATAGATTTTACACAATCATAACTGAATAAGTTTTCTATAGACAATATCCTGTTTATTCTATCAAGCCTCTTCAATTACACTGGCAGTTTCAATAAACGTTTACACAATGACAAAATGGCGACAATTTGTATACAAATGCATAAATAATTTAAATAAAAAATATACATAATTCTAACACTAGTTATTATAACAGCTACATTTAAACAAATTAAATTTTATTTCATAAACGTAGTGACTAAAAGCGAACACTTGCAATAGTGCATTAATTTAAAAATAATTTGACGTCTTCAATATATAAAATCAGTCATTTCATAAAAAAAGTCTGAATATTGATAAACATACAATTTAATAAATTGTATCAAAATGTTAATTTAAAAAAGATAATATATGTAGTTAAATTGATAAATAATACTAAAATTATTATGGATTAATATTATACAACTTAGCAATAGCACCAAGTTTCTATTTTTTCCCTAAAGATTGTCATCACGAGTTTTATATATAAAAATATTTGAAATAGTGATGGAATGTTATAAAAAATGGGGTTTAAAATATTTCAGGAACATTTGTGTTCACAATTCAATTGTCCATACTACCTAAATGGAATGTTAGAATGCATCGAAATTAATTTCTTGATATATTTATATTATTTGGAACGAAAAATATTTAGAACATAGCAAAGATCATTAAATTCGGTCCAGCCGTTCTGGGGTTATACATGGTGTAACTAAGACGACACTTTTTATATTTATTTAATGTCATCTTTTATCTAGATCTAGTCATATATTTATGTGTATATTATTTAATAATTTCGAAGTCAACACATAGCTACCGAGTATAAATGCGACCGCGGGCAACATTGCATATTCTACCCTAACAAAAAAAAACCCTAACTATTTACAATTTCACATTCTATAAACCTAGACTAGTAATATTGAACCTAAAAATAACCACTTTTTGGTAAAATTTTGCAAACCAATGTGTATTTCTCCAACACATGGCTACTCCAAACTGAAATTAATTCATTTTCGACTTTATTACAAAACGTTAAGGTCAATAGTACAAAAGACCTCATGAATATGTACAAACTGACACTTTTAATTCTGTATAATCATCTACCTTTTTATAATTCCAAGAAAAGCTATCTACATACGTATTTATCTACAAGTTGTAACATAAAAAAACGCAAAACCTTTAAAATACAAGAATAAAAATATTAATTTTAATCAACGTTTTTTATGTCAATTATAAATCACTTTGAATTTTTAATGTCAACATTAATAATCAATATTGTAAGGCCTGAACAACCACTTATATCGTCATGCGTTTAAACACCTCCTTGTATAATATCAGTTTAAAAACCAAACAAGACTGACATACTTAACCACGTCTTGATCAACAATTAAAATGTTTTGCTATTAACAGAAATATTACCCAACTTTTACAATATACGTAGGATCTTACTTGTTGTTTAGGGGTCTTCTATAGGTCCAGTGACTCTTGTCTTTGCTAAGCTCCACTTGGCCATCATTTCGTTGTCCACGGTATCCACTATCCACCGCTGGGTTTCGCTGGCAAGGTCACAGGTGTTGATAAATAGATCTCTTGTTCTTTGATTCCAGTCTATGCAGTGTTCACCTGAACCATGCTTTATTTGTTTCGTGTCCTGTAAAAGTATTTTTGTCCATGAGAGACGTAAATAGATGTTTCTAAAAAATGTTTACTGCCTCGTTGGTCGACAGGTTAGTGCAACTGCTAAGCATGTGATGTCAGATTTGAATCGATCAAATTATTATTAAAATTTTCGTATTTCGACATTCTCAATACAAAATTGTGACCCTACAATAAACTATCCCCTGAGATAAATATGGGCGAGGTGTCGTGGTGGCCCGGTTTAAGATACCCGCTTCTCAAGTCTGAGGGTGCGGGTTCGACTTACCAACGGCAAGTACAAATGTGACTTTTCCCGAGTGACATGTACTTTCCTAAGATTATTTAGACACCACTGACAAACGGTGAAGGAAAACATCGTGAAGTACAGGTTTGACTTATAATTTCTAATTATAAGTTTGAAATCGCATATCCGCAATGAGCAAGCGTGGTGCTTAATGCTCAAACCTTCTCCGTGCGAGAAGAGGCTTTGCTCATCAGTGGGCATTTATAGGCTGTTAATATAAACATGGGCAGGGGAACAATGGATGTTGAAGTTACATTGATCCAATATCAAAAATTGGACTTAAACATTATCTCAGCACCCGTCTCAATATGGGAGTGCTCAATAAATTCACAAAAAGCTACATACCGTTAGGTACTTCCACAACTGATTGCCACCACCAAGATGGCAGGAGAACAGCTTTATAGGACTCTGGGCCGCGGTCTCAGGGAGATCCCAACACATGTTGCGGGATAATACTCTGGCAACACAATACGTACATTAATAACATCTTATACTTACTTATTATATATAGTATAGCTGAAGAGTTTGTTTGTTTGTTTGAACGCGCTAATCTCGGGAACTACTGGCTCGAATTGAATAATTATTTTTTGTTAGATATTACATTTATCGAGGAACACTATTGGTTAAACAAGACGTTACTATGTGAGACGGGGCTCACACGCTTGGCTCGGCTTCTATTAATTAAGAGTAGCCAAAAGTTACATTTTTTTTTTATACCACGACGGTGGCAAAAAAGCACACGGCCCACCTGATGGTAAGCGGTTACCGTGGCCTATGTACGCCTGCAACACTTAGGGCATTACATGCGTCTTGCCGACCCTTAAAAAACCTATTCACTGCCCTCTTGAAGAACCTCATGTTGTAGCCTACTGGGAAAACCACGGCAGGGAATAAAAAAATGACCGATGTACCGAAACATGGCTCTTCTAGCAAAAAATGAGAATGACTAAGAATACTGACTTGACATCCTTATGCCAGGAGAAGATGAAGTTCTGTTCAGGGTCGATGACGTCAGCACAGTCCGTGATGCTCAGTCTCTCGAGCCTCTCACCGTCGCGCGCGTCTATACATACGTTCGGATTGGCTACTGGTCGCACCTGGACATATAACAAATAGGTATTATACAAATTGCTACTAATATTATAAATGCGAAAGTTTATATATTAGTTTCTCCTTCATTAAACGACTGAAAGGGACGGGATGATATTTATAACAGGGGTAAATTTTGGTGCATATAGGCACATTTTTAAGCCGTGCAAAGCTAATCTCGTTGGAGGCAGGTCGTTTCTAACTGGTCCATTATGAAGTTTGGTCTGAAAGCTGTAAACGTCTAGTGACTGCCGCTAATCGAAGATATTAATAAACCCTTTTATGTAACACCTGTTAATGTTAAACGATATTTTTTTTAAGTAAATAAATAAACTTTTTACTCAAAAGTATAATAAACAAAAACTTTATATTTATGTCTTAATTCTACATTATTGCTATGCCTTATCGTATGTCTGAACTAGTTTCCAAACCTGTACCTCAGGTAATAAAAGCCGTTAGCGTAGAAAACTTAAGGTCTAAATTATTTAGTTAAATTTGAACTGAGTACTCTAAGAAGAAACAACGAAACATATTCACGAGGTCAGTTTATGATTAACTTGTCAAATTAATTGAGCTAGATTATTTATAAGTACAAGTTACTTACACGTCCTTTAGCGAATGGTTTCGGCTCTATCGTCGGGTACTTCGCTGTTAGATCAAATGCGATCTGAAAAAATATAGGTAAATACAATCACAAACTTATGTACGTCATTATTTATATCGTAAAGTATATATGTACACTGAATAATATTCAAAAACTATACCTATCGCTTAGTTAGAAGCTAAAATCCATTTGAATACCTGTACTGTACAAGTTACCTATTTGGTCTTACCAGTCTCCATGGGTGGCGCCGACTGCTTACAAATTGGGTACTTTCCCTAATCAAAAATGAATAATTTCGGCTGATCAATCCAAAAAACATATTTAAAAAATAATCACACTTTCATTTATTAATTTTATGACTAACTTAATTTTAGTATTTTTCCAGCATATTTTTAAGAAATAAGCATGCTGTTTGCCGCTAAATTGAACATTTTTTATGTTTTATTGTATTGGAACAGTCGAAATAATTTATTTTTGTATTTTACCTTCGTGAGACATACTAAATAAATTATTATATTTTCGGCTTACTCACGTAATAATTTAAGCAGCGCGACAGTCGCCGCGTCGCTGGTCGCGAAATGCTGCTCATGAATATGAGCCTCTAGCATGGCTTGAAACTAGTCGAGTTCCTCGTCAAATTATTACGTGAGTAAGCCGAAAACATAATAATTTAATTTATTTTTGATTAAGGCAAGTTAGCAAGCAACCCGATTGTTCATATTTTTTGGTGTTAGCCAGATGGCTATACAGGAGAGATCCTCATGTATGGTCATCTCGAGTTATCCTAATTATAATAATGCTTACCTGCGTCATGAACCACCTAAAAGACTTGCATTGCAGTCGCTCTCGCAGCGCCTTCTGCTCGGAGATGTCGCCTGGATCAATGGTCCGATAGTGAGGACGTCTCGCGTACAGAAACTGCGCGTACTCGTCCATCCACACTTCGGCTACACGGCGGTAATTCTGGAAAAATAATTTGAATAATTTTATTAATGGCAATTTACTACATAGTATAAAACAAAGTCGCTATCCGCCGTCTTTCTGTCCCTATGTATGCTTAAATCTTTAAAACTACGCAACTGAATTTGATGCGGTTTTTTTTATAGATAGAGTGATTCTTAAGTAAGGTTTATATGTTTAAAAATGCATATTGCACCCGTGCGAAGCCGGGGCGGGTCGCTAGTCTATTAATAAAATAAACTATGCAGCGGCGTGGGGCAGAATATAGCATTTCTAGATAAAATTATTATTTGGTCCCAATAAGATTATCTTTTAAAATATAGTCTACATACTTTGCCCACAAAGTCACCATGTCCAGGATTGGGGAAGGGCGCGAACTTGCGGTAGATGTGACCGACGCGGGAACATGGCGCGTCTATCATGCGACCACCGCATTGCCATATCTGTAACCAAACATGTACAACGAATATTATATCTCTAACCATATATTAATTAATCAAATAACGAGGTACAGTTTAGGTGTTCGTGGCGTATAATAATAAAAACTAGAATCCGAACATCGAGCGGTCAAAAATATTATATTTTTACGACTTTCCGATATTTCACAGTAGAATAAGTACTCTTTAATAATTAATTAAGCATAGTATACGAAAAGTTATTACCTTCCTTATGTTCTTTCTACATAATCATAAACTAATAAACATAACTTAATATAATTGTTTTCTAATAGAAAAGGGATACAAAACTTCTTTTGAACTTAAACCAAACACAACACAAATCTATACAAGAAGGATATGCACATACCTTAAAACTAAGCTCATACTGCTCTCCCCCCCAGATGTCCAAACCAGGATCGTATCCACCGAGCTCCCAGAAAAACTTGCGTGATATCGCGAACAAACCACCGGCCATTACAGGACTCCTACAAGGAAAGTGACAAATTAAATCAATCGATTGGCTCACCAAACTGTTGGATATTATTATTATTAGGAAAACCTAATACAAAAATATAGTGCACATATTTTTCGCCAATGTTGTTATTAACACATAACATATGTCAAATCAACTGAATTTATTTGTGAACACAGACATATATGACAATAGACTCACCCCTTCTTTCATGGGACTCATAACTTAAATAGTAAAAAGTGGGTGTTACATTGTACAGTGGCATTAAGTGCCGTAATGTGCACCTCTGCCTACCCCTTCGGGGGTAAAAGGCGTGATGTTATTATACTTATATATATAGAAAATCATTATAGTATATCAAAATATATCAAAAGTCGAAATACACTCAATTTGGAACAATTATATCTTTACTAACTACACCCGCATGCTTTCTACCACTGCTCGGCTCCTACCTAATGCTCGTAACATAACGTTTAAATGAAAACACAGATGCACCAATTTTTATTGGGTTAGTCGATAAACGAGCATACATATCACCTGATGGTAAGCAATCGGCATCGCAACACCAGAGGCGTTACCAGCCCTTTGGGGATTAGGAATTTTAGGATTGTTGGGGATTTTTTTGATTTCAATTTTTAGCTTTCCACCTAGAAAATTGCGTAATAATGGGTTTGAATGAAATAAAAAATAGTTTCTCCATCACCTCAATTATCTAAAGCTACTTAATCACGTTAATTCAATGTTTCATTTTGCCGTGAAAGACACATTTCCGTATATATAATATTAGTTTTTAACCAGCTGTTTCATCACAAGCTGTTTTTAGAAAATAGATCTTTGTACAGTTCAAGCAACAAGTTCAAGTTGCTAACAACTTAGAACTGTTTTTCAGCGGCTTCTTGGAGTCACGTGCGAGGGTCGCGGCATCGCGGAATGCTGCTCATGAATATGACCATGACTTGAAACTAATCGACTTCCTCGTCAAATAATTACGTGATTGAGCCGAAAAACATAATAATTAATTTTAGTATGTCTCGCGAACGAAACTTAGAACATCAAGATACGTAATCTCTATCCAAAAAAATAAATTAATGAATTAGCACTAACTGCCATGATATCATCATTTAATTGTTAATTTTCCATAATTCCATATAACTACATTAATCAGATTATCATTTTACAATTACCGTACTTCATAATTATAATTGAATTTTTTAAAGTTATCGATAACAATCGTTTCAAGTTTCGATTGTAACGTAATGTATGATGCTTACTTGTTATTTTATTTACCAATATGTTAAACCAACGAGTTCGTACTACTAACCCTTTTATGATATGGATAAACCTATTGCTATGTTGTAAATTTTGAAATAAAAATCGCAATTTAGATACCAGCTCCTTAAAAGGTAATCCCGTATATTTAAAAGAATTAAGTAAGTATTTCAATGTTTCCTCAGCATAATTATTTTTGCGTCATTTTCTTAGGGGTCCCATATACACTACTAAGGGTACAAAGCTTTATACTTAGGTTACATATTATTATTATTCCTAAATATCAAATTTTCACAGTAAGGATCTAACTGTGCCCTGTTAAATATCGTTTCTTTCTATTAATCTCAATTACTTTTATTGAATTTCCGTCTAAAACGTGAAACGATCCAAACATAACATAAGTTAAGCTTATGTAAAACTCTTTTGTAACCAATGTACTGAATTAAAGCACAACTAGACGATCGAATCGAACCGTAACTTTTGTCTGCTCCGGACCATATTTGTTAGTGTGTACAGCGGTCCGTCGCACATTTTTAATGGATACCACCGGACCGCTGAATCAAATTGACGGTACGATGACGGTTTGGTTCGATCGTCTAGTCGTGCCTTAAGTATCCTGGTTACAAAAGAATATGACATAAGTATTGACTAATCTAGATAAAACCGTTAAATTTTTCGGTATGATGACTTGAGTCATTGTCTAACTATTTAGGAGAGTGCATAAGGACCAATAAAACTTAGCAAATAAGTGCATTAAAGACATATAAGTATATACAACAAAGTTAACACCCATAAAAATTAGACTTACAGTCACTCAAGCAAATTAAACCGTTATTACAAAGCAATAATATCTATTTTGGTATGAAAAATGTTACTTAACCTAGTTTACGCTTGACTTATCTGATTTACATGCATTTGTTTTTAATTCCTAGATAAGTTATCTAATACTGTTTAGTATAGGTACATTTGTGTTGCATAAGATATCAGAAAACTGATACAACAAAACTAATTTAAGCAAGATGTTATCAATTCAAAGAATATAGAAATGTACTCGAAAATCAACCTAACGAAATCAATATTAAAGTTTATTTTACATGTCTATGTGTAATATAAAGGTAATACATTAGGACAATATGAATACACATAAAGATAACAAAAATATGTTACTTACTCGAAAGGTTCAGGCATATTCTTTTCGTCCTTGGGCAGTATAGGCAGCCGTTTGTAGAAGAACTCCCAATCAAAAGCACCTCTGGCGCCTTCATCTTGTGCGCGGTACTCAAATGTGTCGTATGCAATCACGTCAATGAACGGACAAACAACTGTTCGGTAGTCCAAGGCTATCGGTTCTGTTTAAATGAAAAAATATACTCTTTAGACAATACAAAGTCTATTATTAATTTAAAAGTACGTCTATTGTGACAACTACATACCTGTTTGTATCAACCTTTTTTCAAATAATTTATGTTGCGCAAACATTGCGTAAAAGTTAGCGCAAACTGTTATTTGCGCAACTATTTTAATGAAGGAAATAAACTGACTAATTATTTATTTCACACTTACAAAACACAGATTTAACGCTATCAGCAGTCAAGTCGGTGTACAGAAGACACTTTTTTAGGGACTGAATCACAATGTAATTCTAGCCTCATTCTAAGACGACGCTTCTCAAGCTATTGTATCAGTAGCATGCATTTAAATATCCTGTCCGATAATACAAATGTACAACAGCAAACTAATACATACACAGACCTAGTAGTGGCGGCAACCAGTTGACATTGGCTTCGGTGTGGGAATCCAGGAAGACCAGTACATCAGACGTGGCTACCTTCGCACCGGCTAGACGAGCCGTGATAAGTCCACTTCGCTTCTCCAGCCTTATGACTTTCACCTTCGGCATATGTTCTGCTAAATATACTTCTAATTTCTCCTTTAAAAAATCTGTAAAATAAAAAAGGATTGTTGACATTATCCTGCGTCATGGTAAGTTATTATAGAAAATCAAATATCATTACAAAATGAAGCAGCAAAACACAACGTTTCCTGCATCGTGCCGTCAGTCAGAAGAGAAATAATATATTAAGAAAAAATATTCCGATTGCAGAGATACGAAATATTTAGGCACTGATCTTAGCATAATTCTAAGAACTCATAAACATACTTACTTAGTTACTAATCATGTTTATGGCTACATGGCTGTACAGAACCAAACAATAATATTTTCTTAACAAAAAGAAGCTACCAGACTACCAGAAGGTATTTCTTTGGAACAGAATCCATTCACATGGATCACTGTTAGCTACATTGTCGGGATGATGATATTATTACAATACGTAATTGTAAATAACAGTCCATAATAATATTATGACAACATTGACGAGTGCACGATAATATTCACATAAAGAATGACGAAGTAATATTGAGATCACAACATGAATTCTTTGACTGATGTTTTCATTATAAACAGCCGGAAGACGTCGAATGCTGGACAGAGGCCTCCCCTTCGTCCTCCACGTCGAACGAATATGTAGATACAAAGAATTATAGAAAGATGTTTTATAAATTTCATGACCTTACGTCCTTTACTTTACTTCCCAAAGGGTTGGAGGAAACAACATAATAAAACTGAACATAAACTGACTCCGAAAAGACATATAAAAATGAAACCTAAACTGACTCAAGAATTAATTGCGAGAGGATCAGGAAATCTTTGCTAGACTTGCCCTCCTAAGTAGGTACTTGACCAAGGAAGGAGTTATTAATAACTTTAGTTACTCAAAATCTGTCTTAAAAGCCAGCAAGACGACCGTTGTTTAAAAAGAAATAACAAATTAGAAAATGAATGATATACAACACCTACGAGAGAAAACTACATATGGTTAAATTAGGTACAAACTTTGAAAAAATTACACCATTATAAATGTTTAATAACAAGCGCCTACATAAGCATTTGTATTTTTAATTGACTATGTAAACTTCATGATAACTAGTAAACACTTGCAATTATAAAGTAATATGCACCTACACATGCCTATAGAACCTAATAAACATCATTGCAGCGTGCACATATTTCCATTTCATAGCAAAATGAAAGTACCTATAAAATCTTTACATTCTAGTGCAATACATAGTGTATAATGTACATAAATAAGTACATTTATTTGTACACAAAAGTCCAAGTAATAGCATTAATTAGCATACACACAATATCCATAGCTAATAACGTTAACATTCATATAAAATTGTTGGACCGTAACAATAGGAAGCCAGGACTGTTTGTTGGCTTACAAATAAGAAGGTCGTATTGGAAATATGTATCAGCTGTTTATATTGAGTTATGTACAGGTATAGCTGTACCTACTTATGATGGTTATAGAAATCAATAGAGTTTAATACAATAACATAATGCCTTTAAATCTTCGAAGAGGTTTGTAGAGGAGCGCTTACGCACTTACATAATATATCTTGTAAACCTATTTTACCCCAGCTGTTATGTTATGATCCCATGTAATAGGAGCGATATTCCTATTATTATATTGACATATTCCTCAATTTCAGATTCCTGCTATTACTAGGACATATTAGAAAAACCGAAAATCGCCAATAATTCTTTGACCAACCCAGGAGTCAAATGCAAGACTCATTGCTAGGCATTCACATTTGCAACCACTCAATCAATCCCCAAGGTAGTAAATATCATTTTAATATTTTTTGCATCCGTGAATAAAATATTTGATTAAAATAAAGATTACAAAGCAAATATGATTCGGACTGCATCTAACACTATTGAATCTAATCAAACAGTTATGTATGTGAGAAAGCCGTAAAACCACAGTATTGTGGTAAAAATATAGGTACTTAATTGAAACATATACTACCTAATTCACATTCATTTTGTGTATCAATTGCCATGACACGTGCCTTACTGGATATTTTGCAAATTATGTAATCTTTTAGGCAGGTAAGTAATTGATTATGGTACAGAATGAATTCGATTATAGTACAGTATTATATTACAGCAATATTTATTAAGCAATAAAAACAAAATAGTTGTAGTATGCATGCAGTTCCCTTCACTATGTTGAATATTAAACTCGGAATCAAGATTCCATTTTGGTAGGCAAAATAATTATATAGGTTGCAATGGCCTTCGCACAGTTCATGCACACGACAAAATAATAAACAAAAAATCTGATTGTATGAGCGTGCGTTGAAACAAGTAGCTTCTATATTTATTCCGTTTTACTACATAAACTTGACGAAACCGAGCGACCGAAGATGGAAACAATCGGGAGCGACTCATCTTGAACAGGTACAGTGACAAGGCCACCCCACCTTGTGGTTGCTACCCAAGAAGGTTTGATCAGATCCGCGCAAACTTAAACTCCACTATCCAAAACCCTAAGATAAAGTCGTCCGAAGATATAAACAATCGGGAGAGACTCATCTTGAACAGGTACAGTGACAAGGTCACCCCACCTTGTGGTTGCTACCCAAGAAGGTTTGATCAGATCCGCGCAAACTTAAACTCCACTATCCAAAACCCTAAGATAAAGTCGTCCGAAGATATAAACAATCGGGAGAGACTCATCTTGAACAGGTACAGTGACAAGGCCACCCCACCTTGTGGTTGCTACCCAAGAAGGTTTGATCAGATCCGCGCAAACTTAAACTCCACTATCCAAAACCCTAAGATAAAGTCGTCCGAAGATATAAACAATCGGGAGAGACTCATCTTGAACAGGTACAGTGACAAGGTCACCCCCTTGTGGTTGCTACCCAAGAAGGTTTGATCAGATCCGCGCAAACTTAAACTCCACTATCCAAAACCCTAAGATAAAGTCGTCCGAAGATATAAACAATCGGGAGAGACTCATCTTGACCAGGAAAAGTAAACGGGACAAGCTCACCAGTTCGTGGTTGCTAGAAGAAGGAGAAGGTTTGATCAAACTTAAACACAACAAAAACCCTAAGATAAAGTGATGCTGAGGAATAAGACGCAAGGAGGTGGACTACATAAAATCGATAAAAAATTAAAGCCCATCTCCCAGATCGGCTATCAGATTTATTTTAGTTACCATCCGGACCGTTTCTGAATATTCAATGTGTAGATCAATACTATTCAGCCTCGCATCGCGGCTACATCTAGATTTAGGCATATTAAGTAGGCCACCAACAGCCAATTAAAAGCCCTTTTATAATAAAACCGATATAACAGCTTAATAATTAGGTAGGTACTTTATTATTTACCTACAATACCAATCGTTTAAAAAAATCGACGTAATAAAAGCTAATGTTCTATAAAAATTAAGATTCGGCACTTTCTAAATCTTTATAAATAGAAATGAATCATTAATTAGGTACGTTGCTAAGCTCAAAACTTAAGTCTAGCAGTCTAGACATATAAACATATACAGCTAATACCATTTTTGCAAATTATTTTGTAATGTTTAAGACTTTTTTCTTTTTATGAGAAACGACGTCTGTAGGAGGCGACAGGTCAATTATTTTAGAAGCACTAGTTTTTTACGCATTAATAGGTAATTAGGTAAACCTTATTCATTGCTTTATCAGACATTTCTCATTTTTTTGTCATGCTTTTGACGTAAGCGTTACATTTTGCGAAATTCATGAGACGGAGCAAATCAGTACCTATTTCAAATAGACCACATTGAAAATTGAATCCGGCCCTGTTTGCGATGTCTCGAGGTCGACAATATGAAGTTGCTCCCATTCAATAACAGTGACCTTGACTTAAGTTGAAAGTCAAGGTCCTTTAAATGTACAATACCGAAATTACAATATTGCTCTTCTACCTTTCTCTTTTAAACGAGGCATATCCATATCAATAAGGTAATAAATCAATACTAAGATTTCTATATCTATGTAAATAGGTGCCTATAATTAAAAGTAGAATAAGTACCTAGTGTCCCTCAATGTTCGTTGATTGTTTGTAAACATTACAAACAGAACAGACCGACGTGGTATTTTAATGTGCTGGTGGGTTTATAATTACGATTATTTTTAATTGGGTACTTTCACACACATTTCATAATATGTAATTGACTAAAGACGGAATGGACATGATGGTTCTTGGACTTGTTGTGGCTGCGTGTATGACGGTCAATTATAATAAACTCAATTTGTTTAACATTGCTTGTGTGACATTCATAATTGATGATTACCTTTTTACATAATATATTTAATTTGACATTACATATTTGACTTCAATGATATTAATTTGACATACTGTATTCAATTTAACAAAACTACAATTAATTAAACTTAATGTACCTAGTTTTATTATATAATTTTTTTATAACATATCTTTGCATGCCAAGTGATGGCAAAATATGGAGAAACTGTATATTTTGTTAATATCTATATTATGTACCCATGTTTACAAACGATTAAATGAATTTGAATTTGAATTTCCTTAATCAAAAATAAATTATTTCGGCTGTTCAATACAATAAAACTTTAATATATAATAATCACATTTTCATTAATTGATTTTATGACCAACTTAATTTTAGTATATTTCCAGCATTTTTTTAATGCTAAAAACCCGTGACGTCACAATACACAATCGCGTACAAAATACATAGAAAACTGTCGTTTTTGACAGTTCGAAAAAAGTATTGAATTTGACTAGTTGGCAAGTACCCAATTTGTGGAGCATGTAGTCTAGAATATACGTATTCCAATGTATACAAAAGGTTTGCCCTCTGCTTGTCACAATCGCAATAAGTAATACATAACTGTGGTTTCTATGGGTTGGGGGGAGCGGGCAAATAAGTAGATGACGACCAATTAGAGTAAAGCTACTGATGTAAGTAACTCGTCTCATCAACGCGTTTGTAACTCACCTGGAATTCCAGGGAAGTTACAAATGCGTCGCTGGCCTTCCGGAGTTAGATAGGTGTCAAATAACAATTACAAATTAATGAAGGTAGAATAGAGATTAAAATATTTTATCAAAATGTCAACTAGAAATCTTACCTTTGGTACTCGCATCGTCGACTAGAATAACTTCCCTCAACAGAGTGCTGGGTGAACGGAGCAGCGCACTAAAGGCAGTCCTGAGCAACGTACTCCAATGCTCGTTGTGGAAGGGAACCACAACGCTCACAGTAGGCAAAGACGCAATGTACAGTCTCGTCGCACATTTACTATGCCGAATGTCGGGAAGAGAACGATTCAGTGGAATTTTGTCACTCAGCGCACCATTGAAACCATTCACAGAATATAACGCCTTTTCGTGTTCACTTTCAGATTTTGGCAAAAATGCTGGTTTTCCGTGTTCACCGATACCTAGGGAACAAAATAAACATCTATAAACGACAGTAACATGTTTAGAGAATGTTATGCTTAAAACTTGGGAATGTCTTAAAAACCAAGAAAATAGCATATTTTGGTGACCCAACTCTTAAATCACCCATTATGACCTTTAATCAACAGTGGGTGCATTCTGCTGATGTTATGGTTGAAATAATGTAATATTATTGTTCTGCTTGTGTGCAAGATATCTTTTGTATTCTATCAATGTAGCTTGAGTATGTGTCAACATGAGGTAATCCAATGTTTACTACTCAATGCTTGCAACATACCTAATTAAGTAAACCTTTTTTAACATGTGTAAACAACTGAAGGAATTTGTGTTCTGAATCTGAGCCTTTGTCAATAAGTGGTTTATATTTTATTTAAATAAAAATGTGGTATTGTTTGTATTTACAACATATTATACAAATTCACATATACATCACATGTAGCCCCGGAACAACAATTTGAATTTAAAAAAGAATAAACTCTGTTCAACCAGCCAGTATTAGGTATTATTCACAAGGTAATTTAAATTCAAAGCTTTAAAACCATATTACAATTTAATGCTAATCAGCAGATAATACTCACCCACTCGTTTCCTTTCATGATCTAACAAAACATAGTCATGCCAGTCGATTTTCTGTAATAATAAGAATACAAATTGATAAAAAAGTATAATAATTATTTTATTATGCTATGTACTACAGCACAAAAATCAGCAGTTCAAACTAATTGTAATGGTTAAATCCCAATAATTTACTTTAAATATTTTAAAGTAATTTACTTTAAAAAATTTTTCTTTATTACATAACAATAACATACTAGTTTTTACTTCTTGAAGGAGGTAAAATGTCAAAATAATATAAATGTAAAGGTGTCCAAAGTGACCATGTTAAACTGACACTCATTTTTTGCCATTTATTACGCGTTTGAAATAAAAGTTTCAATTAACAGTGTTCGATTATTTTGCCATACAATCCCACATTATTACTACCTACTTCCACACGGTTTCACCTGCTCTGCTCGGCTCTTATTGATCGTAGCGTGATGTTTTATAGCCTGTAGCCATCCTCGATAAATGGACTATTGAATACTAAAAAAATTTTTCAAATAAGACTAGTAGTTGCTGAGATTAGTGCATTCAAACAAACTGTTCAGCTCTATATAATAGTATAAGACCCATGAGAAAAAAAATATGGAGCCAGTCCATTGCCATAAATGAGATACTATTATTTAAGAAGCAAATGTAATGATTTTTATTAAAAAAAAATTAAAGCCGATGCGACTAGTCCTAGTCAAAAAGTGCATACACTAATAAGTATTTTAGAAAATTTATTTTAATTTCTTTTTATTCGTTTATTTTCTCTATTAGTTTTAATGTATTTTAAGGTACACATATTTTTTTCATATTTCGAAAAGTAATAGTATTTATTTTATGTTATAAAATAATATAATGTAACTTGACCCGCTGCTGTCTATACAAGTGTTGAGGTCATTCATATTTAGCAGCTAGACCTGTTTAGACGGTCAATTAACTCTAGTAGAGAATCAACACAGTCTCTTTGAATGTAATTTATGGAGTTCTACATATAAATTATCATACATGACTAATCCCATATCATCAGCTCCTTACTTTTAAAACAATAATGTTTATTCTACAGCAATGATATCATATTGCTAAATAAAATACAATGTAATAAATACAATAAAATAAAATACAGTAATAAAAAATAAATATGGAAAATTAGTTTTGCATGCATATTTCCCATTTTAAAAAAGAACTAGGTATATTATTTATTAAACAAATATTTTTTACTCACATTTAATTTAGCTGGTACAAAAAGGTCTTTATCCTGTCGGAACCTCAGTGGTGCGCGGATCACTTCAAGAGCTTGATTTGAGAATTGGTTGCCAGCATCTAGGTTGTTCAGTAATTTAACTATGTACAGCAGTAAAGCTATCAGAGTCAGCATTAGAAGATTACGGACCCTTAAAAGGCGTAATATTTGACGCCTTGAGATAGCCATCATGCTGAAACAAACACAAATAAATATTTTTTATTTTGAGTAATAATATGTCTGTATCATATTACATTTTTTTATTTTAAATGAATCCTGAGGCAACTGGTTTCCTTTTTTTATATTTATACGAATAAAAAAATAGGTATGTTGATAAATAAATAAAAAAATAATAATTTAATTCTGACAACTCTGTAACTCAAATTTTTAAAGATAGATTAAATATTTACTTTATACGTTATTTCCACGGGAATTTAAAAAATTTACCCTAAATTCTGAAGATTGGGGTTTCCGATAGCCCATTTAACTGATAAACTGATAACAACCCTAATCTGATAAATGATTCTAATTAATCAATTTTCATTTTTAGCAAAATACTGATAATGCGAATTTTTAATAGAATAGTTTGTATAATATAGTATTCCTAACGATATAAAACTATATTCATAAAAAGTAAATAAACAGTAAGTAATGAAGATATTGTTGGTACATTTGTATAAATCTACAAGCATGCAATACTCACACAATATATCTTTCACGGGTTTATGTATATATACTGCCGTTTCACGAGGACAAACCAATCAAATTATAAAAGATGTTTTGATACATCACCATAAAGAAAAACAAGATTTTCAATAAGACACGAATGCACGGCCGAACGAAATACAAAAAACTAAAGCCGCCCGGTGCTAGGTGCTAGCGCACTCTACTAATCTAAAAAGATACTTAGTAAAACCATCTCATCTATCTCATCTCTTCTTAACCTAGTTAAGCTATTCAAAGGAGTGAGAGAGATGCCCGAAGAAGTGACATTTCCGAATCAACCTTCATAATTTAGTCGGTTTATAAAAACTTTTTTGGTTGTCAAATGTGTTTGACAATGACATTTGTGTATTCAGCCTAGTGAACAACACAAAAAGGAATCTTTAGAATCATCTAACATAATTTGAACAAAAACATTTTCATAAAAAGTGTATTAATTTCATCCTTTATGTAAGTTATTTTTTTATATTATTTAGATATTTTTATGTTTCATTAAAATACATGTACAAAATTTGAACGCTTCGGAAAATTCTCGATCGCTACCTTGACAACTGTTTGTTTTTGATTGGCTGAAAATTTTCAGGAAAATCAAATTCCTTTTAAAAGGGAATTTATTTGATTTCTGTGCGTCGGATAAATCGTATGGTATAAAGTCAAAAGTGAATTAAATACATTTCAAGGTAATGACTGGTATGAATTATTTCAATTTAACTTAAATGTTCCTAATGGATTTTGGTGATTGGTCGCCCTATATTGAGGATTTCCGTTATCCGGCTGCACCGAATGACCGAACACACTTGTATCCGAACGCTACATAAATTCATACATATTTTTAATTAAATTAAGTCCCTTTCTCGTGGCGGAGTATATACTGAGCAAGTTGTTTCATTCGTGGACATTGTCGACACTTTTTTTAGTTAGCCGACGTGTTCCATCAGTGTTACATTTTATTTTACAGATGGCTTTATTTAGCCGTAAAATATACCTATTGGGTGCCTTTCTGGTGTTAGTGAATGCATTGAGTGTGGTGCACGCTGAGGAGCCAAAGGATAAGGATGGGGACGACGAGGCGACTGTGGAGGTTAGTTGATAGGTTACATTGATGACCTGAATAAATTACCGACGATTACTATTGAATTAAGAACTGCTGACTTAAACTTTTCTGACCCACATTATTATCTAGAGATAAGATTGAGATCTAGGTTTAGTGTCTAATCAGAATTGTTATTTTTTTCTCTCCTGGCTTATACATTGTGGTATCATGACTGTGTCTATTGAGTTCATCCCAGAAGATCTGTATTCGCAGATTAATGTGTATTGTATTTCTGTATAAATGTTTGTAACTTATTTCATTAATTGTCTTGGTATTGCTTGTTAATGGGTGCCTGTGCCAAAGCTACACACTCTTAGCCCTAGAACAACTGATGTAAATTAGTGTCTAATCATTCATTAATGTTCAAATATTGTTCATTTAACATTCCTGGCTGCAAGTCTTCCTCTAAAGTCCAATGTTGAAAGTTCTGGCTCCAGTTTAATTGTCCACATTATCTATGTCGGATCAAAATTGTAGTGTCACTCTCAACGGATTGTATAAAATAGATTACAGTAGGTCCATGTTAAACACTAACTCGAACAATGAACAAATCAAAAAACCAAGACAATGACAGAAATCATATTTACTTGCTTGAATTAATGAAAATGCAATTGAATTCATAGAAGTTGCATAATTAAACATACTTATTATAATGGTGTTTCTAATTCATCTATGTTTGTTCTTTTGTAATTTTCCTAATCAATGTATTAACATCTAATCTGCCACTTTAAGGTACACAATAAAAACTACATTGTGTTGCTTAGATCTATGTTCTGATAAACCAGGAGATAAATTACATGTTTATTCATTACACTGTGAAGTCCACTTGACATGCAGTTTCAAATATTTCTTTATTTATAGACTGTGGAAGAAGAAAACCTATACCAGAGCCCTAAAATAAGCCCCGAAAAAGTGTATTTAGCTGAACATTTTGATGATGCGGCTGCCTTCAAAAAGAAGTGGGTGAAGTCTGAAGCAAAGAAACAGGGTGTTGATGATAATATCGCCAAGTATGACGGCAAATGGGAGGTGAGTCGTTCATTACTTTCAACTTTTTGTTTTTTGTATTCTCTCTTTGTATTCTCCATTTCAATCCTGCAGTAAAAAGCTAAGAAGGTGTAGAAGAGAGAATGGTGTGACTCCTAGCACTTCAGTTCATGAATCATGAGCTTTGATATCGACATAATTATGGCTATTGTGTCTTATTTCATCAATGAATTATAGTTAGATGTTCATCAATGAATTGTTGAATGAAATTCAAACATACGCAAACAGGTTTAGAAATGCATTTCAATCATAATTAGCCTCAAAAAGTATGCAGTAATTAGACAAATTACTATCAAAACCACAAAAAGTCATTAGAAATCTATAAATAAATGTTTAAACTATTATTGATAAGAGAAAGATAAAATTAATAGAAATTAACATGAATAGTTTTGTACTGTTACAGTTGATGTTCTTAGATGCTGTTATCTTGATTTCCTTAGCTAATTTTACTCAAACATTACCTTACTGTGGAGTTTACAACTGATAACTGATAATATTTAATAATACATTTACAATCTACATTTACTCTATGACTGACGGAATTTGATAGTCATTTTTCTTACATAAAACATGACTTATATTTTTACCAACTTCAAAAAAAGGAAGAGGTACTATGTTCTGCTGATTGTTTTTTATTTGTTCGCCGATTACTCATTCCAGTATATTAGACAGGGACAACGTCGTGGTGGCCCGTAGGTTTATGACGCGCTTCTCATACATGAGGGTGGGTTCGAAACCTACCAACGGCAAGTACCAATGTGACTTTTTCTGAGTTATATGTACTTTCTAAGATTATTTAGACACCACTGACAAACGGTGAAGGAAATCATCGTAAGGAAACCTGGACTTATAATTTCTAATTATAAGTTTGAAATCACCAAGCCAAGGTTCAAGCCTTAGTAGAAAGTTTAAAAAAAATGTTTTTGTCATATTTCAGATTCAACAACCAAGCAGAAAGATCTTCAAAGATGACTTGGGTCTGGTGTTGACAACTGAAGCAAAGCATGCAGCCATAGCAACTCTATTGGAGCGGCCATTTGAATTCAAGAACAAACCTTTCATTGTCCAGTATGAAGTTACTATGCAGGTAAAGTTTAACATACACAAGAATAATAATTTTGCATTACCATAATATATTTATTTATTCAAAGAAATACTGCCACACCACAAACATATAACATTTAAAATATACAAATGTAACAAAATAATGGTCTGATGCATGTGACAATAACGGTGTACATAGTATTGGCAATACATCGGCTTAACAATGGCTTAAAAAGGAAATACAATTTGTTAATTAGAGAAAAAGAAAATAACAAAATTCGATCAAATACATACCTTAAAATTAAATTAGGATTAAACAAGTTCAATTGCAATAATTTTCAATAAATATTATATGTCCAATTTAAAAAAAAGATATATACAACAATTAAAAACAAATATTATACCTACCAAGAAAGTTTGAATGAAACTTGACTTATATGAAAACCATTTCAAACAAGAGAACTCGGTACTACAATAGCGTAATGTTAATGGATTTCTATTCTACTAGAACTGTTTTTTTTAAATGATCATTAAAGAGACGAAAAGGCGAATATTTAATGTACTTCATAAAAAACTGTGTATAAATATTAAACAGCTCCATTTATTATGACGCTATTCTTAGCATAATAAATTATTCCGAGTCAAATAAGTTCAATGAATAATTGTTATCTCAAAAAGATATTGAAAATGTGAAATTTACTTGTCTTATTGAAAGAACAATCTCAACACAGCCAATACATGTGCCAGACTAAAGTCAAGAAAAAAGATTTGAGATCTATCTAAAACACAAAAGGAAAAATGTTCAATGATTCAAAATGTCTTATACTGGATGTGTGGTTTTACATATTGCTTAGTTATGTAGAGTAAAACTTATTCAATTGAGTCACTAATTGGCTTATCGGCTTACTGTTGGAACCTATTCATATTTTCCACGTAAGTGTAGGTAAGTATAAGAGGTGAGACTTGTACCTAAATACGTCATGTAAATGTTCATCGAGTTTGTAATAAATCTCGTAAGCTAATTAGCGAGAAAGTATGACCTGATTTGGGTTTGGTATTGATTTGGTCAGCTTTGCAATTTGTTGCTAAGTATTACATCATTTCACTACTAAGCCAGTAGGTAAATTTTTGTTACATAATATGAAACTTTATGAGTAAATGCATGTTACTCATTGTTAAGTAAAAACCGCTGTAGAGATTTAGATTGAATTTTACATGTAAGTCGGATTAATTTAGTCTAATTTAGTTTATAACATATCAATGACAATGTCTGTATGACACAAAATAGTTTCAAAGCATTGTTTTTGAAATAAAAATTTATACAGATTTTTACGACAAATTACAAATTAGCCTCAGATCATTAGCTTTTTAAAGGCAAAAAAGAGAGGATGCGTTACAAACATAATACTATGTCGGTACATGTCCTGGACTGAATCCAAAACTGTTTTCGGAAGTTCGTTATCATTCGTTTATAAATAACTTGATCACGTCAATAAGTTTTTGTTTGTTTGCTCAAAACCTTCGATCAACAATAACAACTAGATATCGGGTCGGCGCAAGAAAATCGTCTCGACAAATAAGAGCTCACTTGAAAAGTGAGCTCTTATTTTGTTTAGTATGCTCCAAACATGGCCAACGTAATCACGTCTCACGATGCTGCAGTGCGTAATTGCAAGTTGCAAAAAAATAACCGAAAAAGCAGTATAACGGCCGGAGTGTCTTACTTTCGATAAGTAAATAAATTATAAGTTATATTTTAAGCTTTTAAATTAGTAAATAATATCAAATTAGACAAAATTACCAAATATAAACCAACGCCACCAATGTTTGTGCGTGTGTTGGCGATCCCTTGGCCAAGCCTCGCCAACACGCGCACAAACATTTGTTTAAACAGAACAGTGGATGCAATGGAGTCGATTTGTATTTTAAAACAAATTTATATTGTAACCTGATTGGAAAAGAGTACTTAACCTATGGAATTTCTTGCTCGTTCTTCTCCATAGGAATCTACACCTTAAAATGAGCAAATAGCTTCACTTTTAAATTTATATTGTTGACGTTCAAAAGTGCCTTCCTGCTCTAACTGAAATAAATGATTTTGACTTAGACTTTTAATGACAAAGTTAATAAACATATATGATACACAAAAACGTACCGCTAATAAAAATAAGTGATGTATACTAAGATCCCGAAAATAAAATTATTTTAGTGTTCAACACGACTCCATACATACCTCCTGTAGCGAAATTCAAAATTCGAAGAAGCAAAACGAAACAAAACAAAACGATATAGATCACAAGGCAATAACGGAAAAATTATCTTTATTTGTTCTAGCTTTTTTTTTTTTTTTTTTTTTTTTTAAGGGGGGAAAATCATCGAATGACTGCTCCCGCCTGGGTGAGGCGGAAGGGAGTGTCAGACTCTTACTGACTAAAAACCACCCCGTTCCTTCTCCTGCACGTCGAGCCGGAGCCCCGGTTACCCGTTAGGTTCTCCGCGACTCCGAATCGGCATCGGCCCTATTGGGCCCCATCTGTGGTGGTCTGATGGCTCTTTGAGGCGCGCGCGGAACGCGACGCGCCGTACGCTCGGGTCTGTTTCTGGTCGGACGGGGAGCCACCCATGCTCGCCGTCCGCAGGCCCGCGCTTACGGTGGCCGGAGATCGTCCCGCGATCCCCGACGCCCGGTGTGTCCTTCGCGATGGCTGGGTTGCGAGGAGGCAGCGCTTCGCTGCCTCACGCGTCCCGCCTCCTCCTTAGCTAGCATGACTGCTTCGCAAAAGGAGGAGACGGCATCCCAGTCCCCCTCGCTCCGCATCATGGCCTGCACTAGGCCCGGACGCGAGAGGTCGCCATCGCCGATTTGTTCTAGCTTAAGGTTGAAATCAAACTAGATATTTTATAACTTATGTCTTTTAATTTCTACATGACAGGAGTAAGAAAATGCTTTTCTCGTCTTATGTGACGAATGGTCGTAAGTATTAGATAATATTTTGACGATTTATGACTTTATTATTAGGTGCCATGGTTGTTATTAGGTTGAACTTAAAACCATTTTAAAACATTTTTCTCAGTTTGTTATTTTTTTACTATTATTATTCACACGGACAGAACTGGAGCTTGATTTTGTACGTAACCCTTTATCTAGTTGCTATTGTTGATCGAAGCTCAAAACACTGTAAATCACATCCTACATGAATTATTTTTGTAAAATTACTATTTTTGTGTGTTTATGTTTGGTCATAAACATTAATGGTATGTGTTACTATGAATGATAGACTGTGATGATATGAATTTATGTTGAAATATTATAAAGAAGAAAATGGTTTTAATTAGATCTGGAGATGTTTGAGTCATTGTCAGGTATTGATCGATCTTTCACGAAACCTAACTTTTAACCTGTCTGTACAATATAGAATGTAGTTTTTTAATGACTAAATATGCTATCAAATTGCAGGAAGGCCAAAACTGCGGTGGTGCGTACATCAAGCTCTTATCCCGCGGCACCAACACTCGGGCTGACCTCCGCAAGTTCTACGACCAGACTCCTTACACCATCATGTTTGGCCCAGACAAATGCGGCAACGACAACAAACTGCACTTCATCTTCAGACATCAGAACCCCAAGACTGGTGCCTATGAAGAGAAGCATAGCAAGAAGCCTACGTAAGTATTTAAGCAGCCTAATGTTGTAGCTACGGCTGTTAAGCCAGGAATTTCTGATCTAATAGGTGTGTGTCATTGGGTTTACCGATTCTGAAATATCAGTAGTGGCTCTTCACCATTTTTCCCGATTGTAGGAAGGATATTGTTTTTTGCGCGTATCTTGTTACAATATGTGCTAACTTTTTGTCTTGTCACCACTGTCGAGTGGCGCGGGTGCATTAAATTAAACATATATGACATAAGTGGCATTCACATCACACTCAGAAAAATAACCAACTTCCAACTATACAATCTATGACCAACCATAATATAAAGTAAAAATTTTCTTCCTCCACAGTCAACGTCTGGACGAAATATACAAGGACAAGGAACCTCACCTCTACACGCTCATTGTCCGACCAGACAACTCGTTCAGCATTCTCATTGACAACAAGGAGGTCAACGCTGGATCTCTATTAGAAGACTTCGCGCCGCCCGTCAACCCACCAGAAGAAATTAACGACCCTAATGATAAGAAACCCGAGGATTGGGATGAGAGGGAAAAGGTTGGTGAAATATTATTTTTATTCTTCAGAGATCCTGTAACAGGAATGAAGGAATGGCGAACTATTAGCACCATTAATAGAATTTCTGGGCACAAAAATGGCTGGCGAAAACACACTTAAGATGTCTCGTGTTGCAGGCAAAGATGTGGAAAAAAAGGCAGTCATAATGTCACTTAGAAATAATTGAAGCACCAAAATGTGAAATGGGTTATTTATGTGTGCATGTGTAATGGGTTACCACGTTGGCACACTTAAGAAAAAGACAGATGTCCTTCGTGTCAGTGTGTGTATGTTCCGGGTGTAACTCATAATAATCATGCTACAGTCGGGGTTTCAAGAGACTGTCTGCCTTTTTTTCAACGTCCTTGGTTGCACGTATACTTAGCAACGAAGAGCTTACCTTTTGTATTATAACTTTCATGAGACATACTAAATAAATTATTGTGTTTTCGGCTTACTCACCTAATTAGTTGACGAGGAACTCGACTAGTTTCAAGCCATGCTAGAGGCTCATATTCATGAGCCGCGTCGCGGATCGCGAAATGCCGCATAATGAGTAAGCCGAAAACATAATAATTTATGGAGAGTTTACCGTCGGGACTCTCATTACTGATTACTATTTATAGTAGGTTAGTACAAAAGGTCAATCAAAAGTGTTTTATGGCATCAATAACCATTTCCTTAATAAAATGCCTTATTTGTACGTCAAGGTGCGCCATCCCTGTCCTGTAAGAATCTCGTTAGTTACTTGACTATTAACATTAGTGTAAATAAGTCCGACCAGAAACAGACCCGAGCGTACGGCGCGTCGCGTTCCGCGCGCGCCTCAAAGAGCCATTAGACCACCACAGATGGGGCCCAATAGGGCCGATGCCGATTCGGAGTCGCGGAGAACCTAACGGGTAACCGGGGCTCCGGCTCGACGTGCAGGAGAAGGAACGGGGTGGTTTTTAGTCAGTAAGAGTCTGACACTCCCTTCCGCCTCACCCAGGCGGGAGCAGTCATTCGATGATTTTCCCCCCTTAAAAAAAAAAAAAAAAAAAAATAAGATTTTATACACCGCATACAATACAATTATTCACAATATAATGAGCGGTCTTATCGCGAATAGCGATCTGTCGGTGCAACCATATCTTTATAGTGGACAATGAACTTGTACCTATGTATATTTATACCGTAAAACAAAGAACAAAGAAACATTGAACTTTTAAGTGCAAAAGTCTATTTGTGTAAATTTTCAGTGCAATTTGTTTGTGAAATACACTTGGCAATGTGCCAACAAAGGTGTTGAGCGTTTTGCTAGTAAATACGTGTGTGAAACGAAGTCAATAGGCCAGTGCATGGCTTTTATGTCATGACGCCATCATTTATTTTAGCTAAATAGAGTACAATGTTTATATATCTTTTGAAATCCTTAATGGTCTAGTAACAAGTACAAATAGGTATTCACCTAAAACTTATAGTAGACTACACTAGACAATTTTGCATTATAAAATAAGCATATATAAACAAAATATGATGACTGAGCAAAAATGCAAAATTTCATAATAAATTTGTATACACAGCTAAGTTTGAGTCCGCAAATGTTATTTTTGTTTAGATTGTTGACCCAACTGCGAAGAAGCCAGAGGACTGGGACGAGGATGCGCCGGCGCAGATCATTGACCCCAACGCTCTCAAACCCGATGGCTGGCTCGACGATGAACCTGAGATGATTCCTGGTTAGTATAAAATAAAAAGTTGTTTAAACTGCCTCGTTGGCCGAGTGGTCGCAAGTACGGCAGGCAGGACATTTCTATGTCGGGCAAACTATTGCTGGGTTATTTAAAATGAACTATTGACTTAAATAAGATACCTTCAGATGTATGGATATTTTGATTATTTAACTCCCAGACCCTGATGCTAAGAAGCCCGAGGATTGGGACGAGGATATGGACGGTGAATGGGAGGCTCCTCTCATTGACAACCCAGTGTGTAGCTCCGCTCCTGGATGCGGCAAGTGGAGCCCTCCTACCATTCCCAACCCCAACTACAAGGTACGTACGACTAGTTTCACAGGATTTGAATGAACACTATCTTTTTTTTATGGCATAAGCCGGTAAACGAGCAGACGGATCACCTAAGCAATCGGCGTCGCCCATGGACGTTACCGGCTTTTTGGGGATTAGGAGTTTGAAAATCGTTGGGGATTCAGGGATTGGGGAGATTGGGGAAGGGGAGGTTAATTGGGCCTCCGGTAACTTCACTCACACGACAAAACACCTCTATCTACATAACACACTAATCGGTACGCATAGGCCGTCTCGACTGGAGTGATACCCAGGGCCGTCTTAGATTACGCTTGAGCCCTTGGGCACAATAATTCGGGGCCCTTGTGGAATGCTTCTTTTCTTTAACGTTGCCCCACACTAGGATTTTCTCCTGTATCGTGGGTGCGTTTACGAACATAAGTTCACATACACTTGACACCCAGACCCTACAAATCAATTTGTGAATCACACAAGCATTTGTTCCGTGCGGGAAACGAACATGCTATACGTTACGGGACAGCCGGTTGCCGCGCAACGTGTAGCGGGTGTGTTACAGTCGTACAAATGGTGGGTCCTTCGGGGCTCCTGAGGATGGGGGCCCAGGGCACGGGCCCCGAGTGCCTTTATAGTACAGACGGTACTGGTGATACCACGGCCTCGCAGAAAACCGGTGTGAAAACAACGCTTACGTTATGGTTAGTCGTGTCAGTGAGCTATTTCGTAGCCATTTCGATTTATACCCGTCTACTGTTACGATCTATTACATATGGAACTGAAAAAAAGAGCAAGATCTGTCTATGGTTCTTGTTTTTCCTTTAATTTTAAACTTTATAACAATGTCTCTAGAGCTGACGATGTAATATTGCAGGGTATCTGGCGCGCTCCCCTGATCACGAACCCTGACTACAAAGGCAAGTGGAAACCACGTCGCATTCCTAACCCGGACTACTTTAAGGACGAAACGCCATTCCGTATGACGCCTATTGTGAGTATAATATTTTTAATAACTTTAAAGAAAATATTCTTAACCATTAATTATCAAGCCACTAAAGTATGTGTGAAAAACGAATAGAAAATTAAATCATTGGACTAGTATTTGCTGCCTTACTATAACCGATTTCCTACTTTATGTTATTTTAATAAAGTCGAAAATGCAATTTTTGTATAATCTTATAAGATTAGTCATAAATTTTGCAGCAAATCTTCAATTGTATGAGCTGAAGTTTTCTAAACACATTCATTTTGCATAAATGCTCAGCTTTAAAGTTTGTCGCAAGAGTTGGGTTTAATATGCCTATTTTATTTCCTTTACCATCTAGCATGCCGTCGGCTTCGAGCTATGGTCGATGTCTCCAATGCTTCTGTTCGACAATCTGATCATTACGGACGACCTGGCCGTTGCTGAAGAATGGGCTCAGAACACCTTCGCACTTAAACGTGCTAAGATCTCCAGGGATTCGGTAAGTGCAATTAAATTGTAGCATTATAATTTATACTTGTACTTATTATACCTCTATATTACAATTTTATATGGGACTTATAACGTAACAAACAAAAGTGGATGTACACTGTATATCTGCAACACTCCCTAATCTTCCTGGGATTAAGTAAAGTTCATTAATCATCGAATAAAGTTAATAAAAAAATACTTAATGAAATAACCTTAAAAGTGGTACAACAGACTCGAAATGGTTTCACTCCTTCCCTTAATTGATAGGTGTATTAAATAAAATAAAATAAAAAATAAAAATCATTTATTTCGGACATCTAAGAGATCCATAAAATTAATTAATATCTATACAATACAACATTAATACCATACCATCGCAGTCATACAAAATTTAGTCAAATATCATAATTAAACTTAAAGAGAAGATGTCAACATACATTCAAAAATTTCAACCAGACAGAAAAACATAATTATTAATCAATTAAATTATTAAATAACTCTTCTCACAAATGACCTCCAGAGTGGGGATGAGAATCTATCCGCCACAGTCTCCAGTATTGCAAAATGATTATTTTTAAAAATCAACTACATTAATAGTTCAACTTGTAAAATAACGAATGTACCAGCAAACACTATGGGGCCGCATGTTACGCGCGATGAACTACAAGCCGGGCTGGTGGGCTCTGTACGCAGTGTACGTCGCTATACCTATCGTGGCATACATCGTCTGTCTCGTACGACGAGCCAATGAGGTCTAGTCTTACACACTTTAATTATGTAGCAAATAAGCTAAGTTTGAAGGGTATTTAGGATTTTAATTTAGCTCGTTTGTGTGTTGTAACTGGTAAATTTCAGCTTTAGTAAAATCAAATTCAGTACTATAACAAATCTTTACTAAATCCATTAAGCTAGTTCGTTTGATGGTAAACTTTACCTATGCTATATGACCTATTGAGTGAAAATAAAGTTATAATTTTATTTAATTAAAACGTTATTCAGGCTTAAGTAATGACAATAAACTGTACTTTGAAGTCTATTAACGCTAGTCTCTTTCTCCCTTTATTGTTAAACGTCAGCCCATCAGTCGCATAAGGTCCACAATCTACATTATTACTTTAATCTGACTGCACGGTTGGTACGGACAACACTTTGTGTGACCCACAAATTGTTGTTTCGGGTCCAGACCCGATGATACCCAGGTGTCATTGTGTATATGAACTTGTATGTTTGTAAACGCACACACGACACAGGAGAAAAACATAGTGTTGGGCAACGTTATATAAAGAAAAAAAATCCTTGCACTTATACTTACTTGAATACCAATACCAAAATTAAATACAGCAAATGCAGACATGGTAAGATATCTCAAACACTATATTCCCCTTCTAAACTGTATGACGTAGGCTATACGTAGTTTGCTAGTTTGTATCACAGCTAATATCCACAGGACTCTGTGTTCGACCGCGCGATGAGGTTCGCCGGCGACAATCCTTGGGTATATGCCTTACTCATTGTTGTCACCTTCTTGGTCGTCGGGCTTGTGGCCTACGCCTGCTTCGGATCTAAGTCGGTAAGTAAAATTGTCTTGGATTTATTAAAGATACGGTAAATTCAACGATGGTATAATACCAGTCAAGAAATTATCAAACAATCTTTATTTCGACGGTTACTGTTATAATTATGATGTGAATCAATGTAATAGAGTCTGGCTGTACTGAAGAGTCTTCGGTAACCGAGCCAAAGGAAAGCGTATTTTTAAGCGTTATTCGACTTTTGCACAAAAAAAGACTGTACTTAGTAGATCTATCGATAATAAAAAACCTACAAGATTTTACAAATGAACGTCAAACACCAATTCAATATAATAATTAAATACAGGATTCTGACGCCGACATGAAGAAGACGGACGCGGTGGTTGAGGATGATCCTCACCTGTCAGAGGGTGAAGCTGAAGCTGAGGAGGAACTCAAGGAGGAAGCTGAGAGGCCCAGCAAGGCCGACCTTGAGGGGCCAGAGGTTGATAACGATGATGCTGAAGTTATCACTACTACTGAAGAAGTAGCTGACGTAAGTTTTTATTGTGAAACTAGCTACTTCCGCGCGTTTTTTCCCCGCTCTGCTCGGTGCCTATTGATCGTAGGGTGATGTTTTAGCCTATAGCCTTCGTCCATAAAGGAGCTATCTAACACAAAAATATTTTTTCAAATCGAACTAGTAGTTCCTGAGATGAGCAAGTTCAAAGAAACAAATAAACTCTTTGGCTTTATATATTATATTGTATTATAAAATAAGTATAAGATTAATCTGATTTTAATAAGACTGAAAAGAACATATGACTGTTTCCACCAATCATTCTTAAACCATCTCTTAACTAAGAATAACTTAGCATAATGAGGCACCTAAAGTGACCCCTCACTTATAGTGTTAGTTATAAAAATGTCATCTCGCCTTAAAATTTAAGAGAAGTTTGTGAACACAGTTACCTCGTCTATTGCAATTGGATTTGTCGATTCAAATCCCGAAACGTATTTTTGGTACACGTTATAAAACTTGTCATCTTGTTCCAGACTACACCATTAGTGGACACAGAGGGCGCCGGTGACGGACAAAGGAAACGCAAGGCTCGTCGGGAGTAAATGTATAGATGTAATACTTGTGTGTGTGTGTGTGAGTGCGCTGTCATAGTGTGTGTAGCGAGCGGTCGTTGTCCACTAGTGACGTCACAGGCTAGTGACTACACTTCCAATGTTGAGCTCGGCAACAACTTCGGTACCATAACAAATCTTTACTAAAACAAACAACCAAAGAGTTGTGAAGACCAAAGCTAGATATAAAATTAACAAGCACTGCTATAGAGCATTACACTGTAACAATATTTTATTGATAAACAAAACGTTAAAAATTACAATGTTTCATTATTTTATGAAACAAAATTTCAGTGTCATATTTCAAGGTACTTATAACTACCGGCTCAACATTAAAGTGCATATCTGCCTTCTATAAACCTTCTATGTAGTTAAGCTATGTTTAGTCTTATATAATATAGAAAATTATATTCTCGTCTGTCTATCACGCCCGTAATACCTGTATTTCGTGGCATCCTTGTATTTAAGGAGTAATAACTTGATATTTATACTATCATAGTATACTAAATGTTCTGCTATTTTAATACAATACAGAATTCAAAGGTATTAATAATATATTTAGACAAATTGTAGCAATAATTTATTTGAGAAAATATGGGTAACGCTAAACATCTCTATGACCAAATTATTTATAGTTGCTTCTTGGTATAAATACATTAATATATAAAGTAATAATGCTAATTCCTTTCTTATTTTATTATAAAATCACTTGTAACTTATTTTCTGCACCGCCAAAGAGCTTCAGCCGCCCTTTATTTTAACTTGTGACCAATTTAGTGAACAAATGTTAAGAAGAGGACTTATGTTACATTTTTTACGATTTACAAACGAACATTGTATTCAGCGGTCGGTAACACAAGTCGAGTTGTGACACGAATTTTGTAGCCGACCGTCTGAAGTTTAACTTAGCTGGCACTGTGTGCTCAAGATTTTGTTATGAATTTCGTTCATAAATGTTATACATAATAAATGTGGAATATAATATAATGTGGAATAAGTAGTTTAATTTGTATAATTTTCTCGTTGATTCCGGGTTTCTTGTGGAAGCATTGTATGTATATAATTTGTCGGCTTGTATTAATGTTAGACGCAACTAAACATTTTTGTACGATTCCTTTCTGCATTTTACTTATGACTTGTACATTTAGATAGAAAGAAAACATGCTTGGTCTCTAGTATTAACTTCATAATATTTGTATGTTATATACATGAATGTCATGATGGATGATTTACTTCACCTATTATAGAAGCGTCGTAAGCTCATAGTAAACTAATATATTTTATGTTGTATGCTGAGACAATGTGCTGGCACTAGCGAGAACAATATAGAATATAGTGTTAAATAATATAACCAATAAATGCTAATTAATAACAAAAAATATTTTATGAACCTAAGCACTCAATGTCACTACAAAGAAACGTTTTGGCGGCATCAAATTTATGTCATTACTTTACAACAAATACCTTTGTAGATAAAATGATATAACGAGCCCAATCTAAAATGGTGGGCTCACAGCTACAACTAAATACTAGTTGAGCCAAGGATACCGGGACAAAAATCCTGCGAAACGCGTCGCCAGCGACGTTGAGTGGAGAAGCGCGACGTTGCCAGACTTTGGTCGACATGTCTGGCATCATCAACGTCGCTGCGGGCATAAGGCGCGCGTTGTCACCATATAATATGTCAGGCGAAATCGGCAGGCTTCGAGTGATACATGTCGTGGGACATTTGTCCCCTAATGTATCCTTGGCTTTAGTATTTTCTTTGTAAAAGTAACATTTCGTATCTTTAAAGTTCTTTTGAGCTCCTGCGAGCCTTGCCTACATTCTCGCAATACCTACGGTTGTTTAGGGCAGCTGTATTATAAAATACGTCTCGATGCTTTTATTTTCCTAAGTACGACTGTGTGATACGTGAAGTTAATGGACTGTAATTTATATGGATAATAAACTGAATAATTTTTAATTCATTGTTTTATTCATTATTTGAAATGGTAGTAATAATCTTCTGGCTACAACTTAATTCTTTGTTAACGTGTCAGTTTATGAAGTGTATGACAAATGATCCTTATGGTTATCATTGCTTTATATTCACGCACGAATCTTTAAAATGTTTAAATGTTACGATAAAAATTTTGGGAATAACGAGAAATTAATCTTGTCCGTCTGCCCAATTTTCTAATTCCTCCATGAAATGCTTAACCATATCACATGATATTGGACATATTTGATAAATAAATGCCTAACCGAAATCTACAAAAGCCCAAAATACAAAAAAATAAATAAGTTTTACAACCATTACGTACCTGACTTGGCGACCTAAAGTACTAAATTCTAGGATGTAGTCCAGTGACCACTGCATGGCGTGCGTAGATAGCCTAGTTTGGTTCCAACCGTTCCGAGTACTCATTGTGTTGAGCTACCGGCATTAGTAATCGGGAGAGCGTCGCGTCATGTTGTTATTAACTTTGTGGTCAGTGCTATACGTCGCGTCGGCTCAAGTCAGGCCGAACATTGTGATCTTCCTTGCTGATGACTTGGTAAATATTTTTTATGTTAAGTACTTATAGTAAATATTTATTGTGCGAAATGATGTACGTTTGTCATGCTTTTATTCATAAAATTCAATACTAACATAAATAAATTTTTGACCCCACAAATACATAGATGGGGGAAGACGATTTTAATGTGATTAAAAGTAGAGTGCGTTATTGAATTTAATGGCACTTTAAAATTAGTCGGACGTCATCCTAATTAGTTATCAGTCTATGCCTTTGTACAGTTGAGAACTTAAATATTATTTACTAAATATTTTCGAGTTTTTGCTATCTGAACTTGCGCTTGAACCTACTTTTTCCAACTTGCTTGTAGAATATAAAATACCCAGCATAATATATCACATCAAATTCGTGTTTATAAACATTATCGATATTAAATAATTCTGTTTACCCTCTTATTAAATACACATCGGGCAATGACCTTATAAATAGACCATATGCAGATAGGCAACCACAATGTATCAGATATAACCAGTCAGGTAGTTTAATATTTAAATGCGAACCGGTCGACATCTCGACAGAAATCTTCCATAGATGATTAATTTGAATAAAAATAAGCATTTATCAAATATATAGCTTAAAAACTTGCTAGCTTGCTATAACTACCTACTACTGCAGGCTAAAAGGAGTTAGAAACACATTTATGAAGATATTGCCCCATGGGAAACGGTTCTACTGATAAATATGTTTATTTATGTTCAACAAATATTATTCCGTAACTACCATGTTTGAGTAGTAGGAGGGATCGTGCACAAAATATTCACTTTTATAAATAGGTCTTCGTAAACAGGAAAATGCCACAGCTTGCCTGCTTAATTTAATTTTTTTATTAAACGGCATTACCTATTGTTATTTACCCAACTCATTTAGGCAAATGAAAAACCTTAATTGTCTAAATTTAAAGACCAGTGCAACCAGCATTCATGACAGCAGGCAGGTAGGTAGGTACATATGTATAATATAGCATTTTCTATTTTTTATATTACTATTATGCCCGGTATATGGCAATAAGCTCACCCCCTATTACATGAGACTCATAACATAAATAGTGAGAAGTGGGTGTTACATAGTATAGTGGCATTAAGTGCCGTAATGTGCACCTCTGCCTACCCCTTCGGGACTAAAAGGCGTGATATTATGTTATGTTTATTTTCTTATTATGCAGATGCTACTAAATTACTTAATTATATGAAAGTAATTTATGAATGCAATATTTTCAGGGATGGAACGACGTTGGTTTCCATGGCTCGAATCAGATACCGACACCAAACATCGACGCGCTTGCATATTCTGGCCTTGTTTTGCAGAACTACTATGTGACTCCTATATGCACGCCGTCGAGAGCCGCCCTAATGTCTGGCAAATATCCTATACACACGGGTGAGTATTACCATGTTTGTAAGAATGAAAAATCATCCAATAAGTGCTCCCGTCGTGAGTGCGGCGGGGGTAGTTGTCAGACTCCCACTGACTAAAACTTCCCATCCAACTCCTCGTCATTATCTATCGGTGACAGTCGCATTACCATTGCCTTACATTAGTTACATTTTCTACGCTAACTCAACATGATGGTTTCTGGAGACTACACCGAAGCAAATGTAGGTGACCTCCAGATAGTTCAAGCGACGATAACCGTCAAGTTAATAGCTAGGAGTGATTATTCAGCGCAGAACCAAATGTCTAGCTCAGTGACATGTTCTTGGACAGCCATATTACCAAGACTGATCGAAATGAGCTGATTCAATGATCAAAATATTGGAATGCGTGACTCTCCTCTGTCCTCTGATCAGTTACCACACAGAACTGTCATCAGTTACCATTATCTGAATTACTGGAATAGATTTTTAACCTTAGGCATCATCTTGGTATTATTTACATCAGAATACAATGTATCAATTCTATTTCTAGGAATGCAACACAGCGTTATTCGTGGTGAAGAGCCAAGAGGTCTCCCTCTGTCAGAGAAAATCCTTCCACAGTACCTGAAGGACTTGGGGTACAAAACACATTTAGTAGGAAAATGGCACTTAGGGCATTACAAAAGGGAGTATCTTCCATTGAGTCGTGGGTAAGTTCAGTACCTATTTACTACTTTACCAAATCTTCTTTCGACTTGCCCTTTCCTAAGATCCTTCCCGTGTTGTGGTTAGCGCTGTGTCTTACTCTTGCCACGGATCTAGAGCACTCTCTAGACTCTTGAATCAAATAAGAGACGACATTAAAAATATCCTGGGAGCAGGTCATCATGCACTTGCTATCTAGACTATGGAAAAGACCAGAACTCAATGGTAATTTACATGAAAACCGCGTTTTTTGGCCGTCGGACGTATTGCATTTTCTCAATTTTACTTTTTCAGCTTTGACACACACTTGGGTTTTTGGACTGGAAAAATTGATTTATATGATCACACAAATATGGAGACTGGCACTTGGGGCTTCGATTTTAGAAGAGGTAACTAACAAAACCTTTTCTTTATCAATTTTTAACAAAAACACGAATATTAATTGTCTAACGATAGGCGTTAGACAATTAAAAATTAGTTATACGGATAGTTAGGATTAATCCGACAATCACTAAAATTTTCTTTCAAATTAGTACAGTAACATACTTATTCGTGATGTTAAGTATCTGCTTCAGCTTTAAAGTTATCAATTCGTATCTACAAAAACTGTCAAAACTTCGCACACCGATGATGCAAGACAAGGGTATTCGGGTCTTCGGGTACTCCCCTATGACGTAATTTGAACAATTTTATTCTTGTTTAAGTAAGTGTTAATTACTTGAGGAACAGTGTGAAAAATTACTTTTTTTACATGTTGACATGTCTATTGCCTTGGAATGAAACGAGCACAGCTTGCTTGATAATGCTTTGACTTATTTACCGACCATTTTTATTCAGGTTATGAGGTGGCATACGATCTCTTCGGAAAATATGCGACAGATATTTACACAAACGAAGCAGTCAAGGTAACATCATGTTATTTTCTTAAAAATCTTAAACGGTACTTAGGTAAATAAATAGGTATGTTTGCCTACCTCTAGATGGGCCGTTATGGGACCAATGAAGATAATAATAGTACTGACCTACCTTTAAAGCATAATTTACATATCGTTAGCACATAAATTTACGCTATTAATAAATATTAAAAGTTGGTAAGTAACAAAGAACTTTTAACTTATGGAAGGGTGAAATCTATTGCCATGTTCCTGTCGCCAGCCTACAAAGCAATCCAAGTAGGTACCTATACCTAATGAGGTATTCAATGGAACTCCTTTTTTCAGCTAGTAGAAGCCCATAACAAAAGTGAACCTTTATTCTTGATGGTTGCACACTCAGCCATGCACAGTGGAAACCCTTCCGAGTTTCTAAGAGCGCCTGATGACGTTGTTGACAAATTCGCACACATCAAAGACACACAGCGACGCAAATATGCAGGTAATAATTAGTTTCTCTTGCAAAAGTCTCATAAATACCCTTGAATAATAATCGTCCTGATGAAATCCTAAATAAAGTTAATTAACTAGATACTTAAATAAGATTTTCTGATTCACTGACCTAACGACCTTAAAAATACATCATTGATTTGTGTAAAAACCTTTGATAATGAAATGCAATCTGTGCAATGCACCAGCATTGTCCGATATCGGACTTTCGTTATTTATTCCTATGACTTTTCCTGATTTAATTTTAAACCATGCCATTATTATTAATTGTCAAAGGTTTAATTTATGCAAAATGTGCTTTTCCACAGGAATGCTTACTAAACTAGACGAATCTGTCGGCAAAGTGGTGAAGTCGTTGAGTCAGAAAGGATTATTAGATAATACAATAATTCTGTTCAGCACCGATAATGGTGGGCCAGCTGCTGGGTTCAACAACAATGCTGCGTCTAACTATCCTTTGAAAGGAGTGAAAAATACTCTATGGGAAGGTGGCGTTCGTGGTGCGGCCCTGTTATGGAGTCCTCTTATAAAAAAACCGTCACGAGTCGCGAATCAAACGTTCCATATCGCTGATTGGTTACCGACATTGTACAGTGCTGCTGGAGGCGAAACCAGGTTACTAAATAATCCGTTTATTTATAAATCTATGCTTGTCTACGTATGTATGAAAGCCTTAGCGGGCCTTGACACTAGTCGAGTTACTTTGTAAAGCAGTTCAAGTGTTAGCAGCAGTGAGGAAGCCGTTAAAAACAATAAAAGATAAATAAATATAAAAAATATGATTGCAGTGTTTTCAAAAACCTCGACGGGTTCGACTTGTGGGAGGCCCTATCTAATGACCTACCATCTCAAAGGACCAAAATAGTGCATAACATAGACGACATTTTCGGATCAGCCTCAATTACAGTGGAAAATTGGAAACTTCATAAAGGTAAACTTCAAATACGAAGCAAATGTTCTACAAGTAGTTGTCGAGCTATTAACCCAGCTAAGTACAATGTTTGTTACTTATTAACATTGGTTTTATGTTCAGGCACAAACTATAATGGCACCAAAGACTATTGGTTCGGACCGGCTGGTCGGGATGGTGAATATAACGTTGACTTGCTTTACAAAAGTTACGCGGGCGTAGCTATCAACAACATTACTACATTGCCTAAAAAAGAAAGAATTATGAGCATTAGGTAAGTTAGACTATGATACCAATTAGTTAAATTGTTCATGATTGATTAATGAGACTACTTATTATAATTTTTCAGGGATGCATCAACAATAAAATGCAATAATGCTAAACCAATCAACGAATGCAAACCACTAAAAGCGCCGTGCCTGTTTCACATACAAGAAGATCCTTGCGAGCTTAAAAACTTGGCAGATGAGTAAGTAGAACTTGTTGTCTTCATTGTTGATTAGAAATGAGTCGATATTTGGCCACTAAGTATAATAGGCACCTCACTTGGTGGTAAGCGATGATGCTGTCTACGATGGAGCAAACCATAAGCGTATTCACTTCGGAAGCGTATTCACTTCGGTGTTGTTGAAGATACCCAGATTCAGACTCAGAGGTTCTGGCAGAAAATTCGTCTTTAAAACTAACTTAGGTACCTAATTTGCAACTTGTTTGTGGAGTGGCTCGGCGAGAATTCTCCTCGTGATGCACGAAATGCGCCCTAATTTACAAAGTATTCATATAATAGATTTCGATGGAAAATCAATAAGTTTTTCACTTTTACAGGAAGCCAGATATTCTGCAAGCACTAATGTTAGAGCTAGAGAGAGTAAATGCGACAGCAGTGCCACCTAACAATCTAGATTTAGATCCCCGAGGTGACCCGAGGTATTGGGGACGTGTATTTACAAACTTCGGTGATTTCGTAAACTTATAAACTCCTGTCTAATTAGGTGTATATTTTTAATTTATAGTAGGTACATAAAAGAACTGACAGATAAAAGAAATTACCTTCACTGGCACTGATCTGAGGCCTTAGTACGAGTTTCTCTTACGTTGAAAGTAATCGAAACGAGTACGCGCTCGGCACTGTGATTGGCCGGCTCTAATGAACCAACCAATCAGAGGGCCAGACGCCGTCTCGTTTCGATTACTTTAAACGAAAAAGAAACTCGTACTAAGCCCTCAGAGTAACTTAACTTTTTGAATCTGTGTCAATAACTCTAGTCAGTGAATATTATGTAATCAGTGTAAGTACAACTAACGTTACCTTTATACTTAAGCAACTGGTACAAAGTTGAACCTCCCATCTCAAATATGCAAGTTCATTTATATTATGTATTATGTTTATTAATTGTGATAATGTTTACGTTAAGAAGGCAGTTTGTATCTTTCTATATATATAGAAAGCTATAGCTCCCATTTGTAGAAATGGGAGCATTATTTGAATTAAGTACAATTTAAGTGATGACACGATAGAGAAGTTAGTATAATATTTTATTTAACACATCCAAAAGTACAATGACATGTAATTTAATTTTCTAACAAACCAAAATGTATCTCCTTATAAATATTACTATAATTTTAGACAATCAAACCATAACGAAAGCATAAAGTCTGAACAATGAACTAATAATCAAAAATGTGTTTAAAATAAATCAATCATGAGAAGCTCTGGCCCTTTTAGTTCGGACTCCGGTCTTTTTGGCCGTATCCGACTTCCTTTTTCCGGTCCTTTTGCCCAAGTCTTCAACGTTGACAGGATTATGACTACCACTTAGAGGTAACCCTTCTTCATTGTCCACGTCGCACATTAATGCATTTCTATACTCTTTCAAGGTCTCATCTTCAACCATCTGTATATTTTGTTCAGGCTCTATAATCTTACCAAGTGTAGTAGCATTCTGTAAGTTCACCTTTTCCATGGGACTAAGGACCTCTCCTATTGGGTCGGGTTGACTGCTCTGAGACAAAGTTTCGGCTATCAACCTGTCTACTAAGTCCGGTTCCTCTTGCTGGAAGAATTTGCTCATTACCGACTTTAATTGGTCCAGAATTATTTCACATGAAGTGATTAGACTGGAATTTAGAAATACATTCCTTTTACATCGATGTAATGATATGACAGCATTATCAAGATAAAATATTAATAGTTTTTAGAGATTTAGAGAGAAGATTGGTACTGAATTTGGCTGTGAAAATACTACATACAAATGTATGTAGTATTTTATCTAGTATGTTATCCACAACAGGATTCATATTCACGATATTATTAAAAGTGATTTAATGATTAATTAAGCCAAGAACTTAAAAATAGATTGCTAAGTAACCGTAAAGGTTCTTCTTGACTCTACAATACTCACTCAGACTCAGATCCCTGATTAATAATGCCATGTGAATGCAACAGCTTCATAAGTTTTGAAGCGTTCACGGGAGACAGAGCGAACTTGTCGACTAGATCCTGTGCCCCTATGGTAGCTACGTGACAGCACCACTCTATTGTACGACGGAATATGCAGAGGCACTGCGGAAAGGAGAAAAGGACTTAAGACTTTAAATACAAATATTCATAAAGTGTTAGTAAAGGTAAATGTGACGGACTAGGAAACTTCAGAAAATCTAGATTTCCATTTCAGTCTTAAATACTACTACCCGCTACTACCCGCTACTACTAGCTTCTGCCCGCGACTTCGTACGCGCAATCCCGATATTTCTTGATTTTCAGTAAAAAGTAAAAAAAAAGAATTGGGTAAAAAGTATCCTATGTCCGTCTCCTGGTTCTAAGCTACCTCCCCATCAATTTTCATCCAAATCGATTTAGCCATTCTTGAGTTATAACTAGTGTAACTAACACGACTTTCATTTATAAATATAGATTAATCTTGGCTTAACTATTTCAAAATGATACTAATAACGATCAAACGATAGGGTTTCTTGATTCTTCTTCTCCATACCGTACTATTGTACACTACTTGTATATGGGTACTTGGGACCACTATGTAGGTACCTACCCATTAAAAAAAACTAAATCTGATGTTTTCCTATTGAGCGTATAAGCAACCACTAGGCCATTCTGTTGAAAATTACATTTGGTAGATCAAAGTGAGCTCGATCGTGTAGCGCCACAGATATATTAAAGAAAATATTTTTTAATATTTCTGTGTGTAGCGCCATTTCATTGGTTGGGAGAATAATCTGACTATATATACAAGGTGTTGTTTTGAAGCCGTGTCATTTCTCGGGGGCATGTCACAGAAGTCATAAAGGTTCAATGTAAGAGAAAATTTCGGCCCAATAGTTAAAAATACGGCCATAATAAATTGTTTAAGTTGGACAGTATTTCAGAAAAAGCTACAGCAATGCTTCTTATTGGAGTTTTATGGAATTAGGAATAATATCAATTACGTGTTTGAGTTTGTGTGTGTTAAGCCACGTTATAAAACTAGTTACAAGTCGGCGGCTTGTAGTTTGCACTTACGGATTTTCGTAATTTACAGAAAAAAGAAAAATATTTACCTACAATTTTTTTTATTGATTCGGACTCAGAATGGATACCCGAGTTACCACGTAGAAAATGACGCGGCTTTAAAACAACACCTTGTATATATAGAGGTAAATGACTGGCGAGAATGAGATCGAGCTCACTCCGAGAGTTCGAATTGACAGACACAGAATAGCCTGTTTATAACTTACTTCTCTCTTCTTAATGCTCAGTGTAGCCAGTCGTTGATCAGTAGGCTGCCTACTAGGATCCATGTCAGAACATTCAGTGCAACAATGGCGTTGTACTTTAGACGCATTCTCACGTGTCAGGCCAAAGCACGCTGCATGTTGTTGAGTGTTGCAGTACCTTTAGAAAATGCTTGAGTTATAGATAGATACTATTGTACGCGTAACGCGTTACATGATCAAGTTCTGCATGGAGCATTCCTCTTTGTATGATCTACAAACTTTTTTTTCGTATGTAACATAACATAACATCACGCCTTTTATCACCAAAGGGGTAGGCAGAGGTGCACATTATGCCACTGTACAATGTAACACCCACTTTTCACTATTTATGTTATGAGTACCATGTAATAGGGGGTGAGCCTATTGCCATATACCGGGCACAATTCCAGACTCCGTGCTATTACCTACTGAGATTTTTTTAAAACCCAGTAATACTTTGGCCTACCCGGGAATAGAACCCGAGACCTCTTGCCCGGCGGTCGCACTTACGACCACTCGGCCAACGAGGCAGTCACTATTCACTTTTCACTATCGTGTTGTATGGAGTTTATAATTAGTGCATGTTTCAAAAACATGCCTAAGAAAAAAAGCTTAATAAGCAAATATCTATGTTGTTATAAAATAAATCGTATAAGAAATGAGATCAAGGGACCACATAAGAAAACTTAAACAAATGTCTCATAACATGAATGAAACTTACTGGCACGTAAGTATAGCATGGTTCGCCTCATCTAGATCGTGTTTATTACACGGACACAAAACTCGCACCTCACTCGAGTCCGTCACACTCCTCATAGCTGAACCTGTAGTAAAAGCATTTCAGAATATTAAACTAAAATACCTTGCCTTATCTTACTGTGTAAAGTATGAAGAAAAAAAACAGCCGTTGTATGCAGCTTTTTTATATTTGGTGGGCCGACGATTGACCACTGTCTCGCCTGGTGGTAAGCGATGATGCGGTTTAAGATGGAGCACGCCGACCCATAATCAACCTATTCACTCGGGCCTTGAAGGCACCCAGGTTGGGTATTAGGGTATACCTTTCAAGAAACGTCCAGGAGAGGCCTAAGTACTGCAGTTAAGGCGGACTTCTTGTGTTTGATGTAATAAATAGAGCTTTTTTCTTTTTTTTTAAGGGGGGAAAATCATCGATTGACTGTTCCTGCGTGGGTGAAGCAGGCGGGAGTGTAAGACTCTTACTGACTAAAAACAACCAAAAAAATAAATAGAGCTACATTCTGTCTTCTTAAGTTATTTATCCTGCAAAAAACTGCCTGAATATTTTCTTCGAGGCTTAGTTTGCTATCCAATAAAACTATATTGGGTGATATAACAGCCCAATCCGTTCAAGATATAAGTTTCCATACGTACTGCTCTCAAAGTCGTCCTGATCAATTTGTGTCATCCTCGGTGGATTTTGTGAGGGCTGAAAACACGAAAACCACTTTAAAAAGACCTATTGGCAGATTCTATTAACCATACTTAGGTACCCAGTACCCACGGTATTACGACAAAGCTTCTGCGGTAAGTTTAAGTTTATTATACCTATTTGTCTCCTTAACAGACTCACGAATGATAGAAACTCACGATAGCATCATGACTGGAGCCCATATTCTCCCTGATGTATGTGCGAGCTGTTAGTCTATGGAACGGAGTCTCCACATATCCTAGCTTCACAGTCTCTGGTAACGTCTGCTCCAAGTGATCCTGTTCCTCACCTGTTGTAAGGAACCCAGGTGCTTGATAGCCTTCTGGAGCATCTGTGTTAGAAGAAATGTTATTAATTATTATGTTTGTCGTGTATGATCGATTTCATTTAGGTCCGAAACTTTTGCTAGGTATTTGATGTTACATGACTGAATGTTATTTAAATCGATTGATTTATCTAAACTATAAAACTCACATACATCATTATACCTTCATACTTTCAACACGATTTTATCAACAAGTCTAGGTGTCTATTCCGAAACTGTTGATCAGATATTTTGGTAGGTAGATGCTTTAGCTCAAAAGACGCCTGCTAGAATTCGTCTTGGGGTGACAGGGCGAAATTAAAAAGTAACAATAGGTACCTTACCTTCATTGTAATACAATCGTAGACTTACATCATACGACTCGGGCATTTCATTCTGACAAGCTTGCATGATAACTACACATGCCCTAATCAAGTGGACAGTCCTTTCTCTAACATTATCGAAAGAATATCTCGTGGAAGTTTTAGCACTGTCCCGAGTTTTAGAGTGCACATTCATGGTCACCCCATCTGAATTGTATAGGTATTCAAATATGTGGTATTCTACTAAATTTTCCGCCTTACATTCGCCGTCGTAAAAACATAAGACTAGTTGATGTAACTGAAAATGAAATTTTATTTAGGTAGGTACATATTGTAAATAAAATTTCTAAATATAATATAAATTCAAGTGTGAGAGAGCTATGCTTCACGAATGGTCCGGCTCGACCGAAGTGATACCACGGCCTCACAGAAAACCGACGTGAAGCAACGCTTGCGTTGTGTTTTGTCGTGTGAGTGAGGTTACCGGAGGCCCAATTCCCTCCCCTTCCCCAATCTCCCCAATCCCTGAATCCCCAACAATCCTCAAACTCCTAATCCCCAAAAGGCCGGTAACGAACTTGTAACGCCTCTGGTGTTCCAGGTGGCCATGGGCGACGCCGATTGCTTACCATCAGGTGATCCGTCTGCTCGTTTACCGGCTTATGCCATAAAAAAAGGATTAACTATAAAACTTACATATTTCTTATCGAACGCTTCAAAAGCTTGTGTGAGCGCGGTACTCACGAACTGCGCCAGTTCATGTCTGCATTTCTTCTTCAAAACTCGTAACTTAATGCCCCCGAAACTCTCAACCTTATAGCTTTCTTCAGGGAAGACATTCTTCAAATACGTTATAGTACTTATAGCAACTACAGTCAGTTGTTTCATAAATGTTACCGAACTTGTATACGTTTCTGTCGCCTGCCGTGGAAATAATTTTACCCATTCTGCCACCGCCTGTGTATAAATAATGCTAATTTAGACATATAAACACATCTTCATTTTATTCAATTACTACCTATCTATTCCCCGTGACTTCGTCCGCGTATACCTAATAATGGCTCTGACAGAATTTAGACTTTTTATTTGGCTTTTCCAAGTTTAATTCTAATGCTGTGTAACAAATCTCATCAGAATCGATTCAGTACCTAAGTTATATTTAAAGTGAAATGAAGGAATATATTAACGTAATTTCAAAAGATAAATAATCCCGCAACGGTACCTAGTAGGTATGTCCTTTCCCGGGTTGCCAACCACTGTTGCACAGACATAACACAACATCACGCCCTTTATCCCCTAAGGGGTAGGCAGAGGTGCACACAGAAGTAACACCCAGTTTTCACTATTTATGTTATGAGTCCCATGTAATAGGGGATGAGCCTATTGCTATATACCGGGCACATTTCCAGACTCCGTGCTACTACTGAGATTTTCTTTATAAAACCCAGTTATACTTTGCCCGACCCGGAAATCGAACCCGAGACCCCTTGCCCGGCAGTCGCACTTGCGACCACACGGCCATCGAGGCAGTCGTACAGAATTCCAATCAAATAGATGCAGCGTTTAAAAACTCTTAGGCAACCTTTCCCAGGTGTCAATCTATCGTTGTACCGATTATTTTTAATTTTTTATTTCCGTTTACGTGCATGAATATGCGTTTAGTACATAGAGTAGGTATGTAAAATTGTAGAATACCTACTTAAGTACTAGGTTACGAAGATAGATGATAAAGGTAAAAGTAAGTACGTACTTATTTAAGTACCAACGTACGGTACTAGATTTCTCAGAGTTTTCAGATGACAAGGTTACAGCTATGCTTTGAGGACTTACTCAGTACGTTGGAGATTGGAGATGTCACAACATCTGTTACCTTTAAAGTATATACCTAGGCACCTTCCTAACGTTGGTAAGTCTCGGAAGTTCTTTGTCGTTAAGTAAAATTAGTACCTGTGATTCGTAAAATGTACTGTACGGTAGCACGGTACTTACCTGTGATGTAAAAGAAGCTGTTGTAGACATTGTTACTAGTAAAATTTTATAAAATGTATAACAGCAAAACTGTAGAGTACGTTTGCGCAATACTTAATATAATATTTTAAGAACTGACGGACATTCTTTTACCTTTTGACTTCCCGCCTAAAATATAATTTGCATTGCGCATGCGAAAATGGAAAGAATATTTTCCAAAGGCCACAGATAAAATATGATAGATGCCACAGTGAGTGCTTCAAAAAGTTTTATTCATCACTATGTCGCTCGCTGTATTTTTTTGTAAGTAAAAAGCATGTAAAAAGCAAAAGTACAATCACGTCTATAGAGTATTGTCACAAAATAGTTCAATATAAAATAGTTTCTTTTTTCAAACAAAGATGACTTTTTGAAACAAATGACGAAGTGACATACCAAATAAATTAAAAATAATTTTGAATACTTTATAGTGAAAACTGCAAAGGATTTTTGATATTAAAAATCGTTATGCTGTGTCCTGAAGCTTATCTAGTGCAAAACGAGACCATTCCTAAAGAAGATGATGAAACGTGCATGAAGAAATGTAAAAAGATACCTGCTGAAGGTTCAGGAAGCTTAGAATTAAACTCTTATAAAAATCCCAAAACTTGGAAGAAATCTATATCCAATTTCTTTCGCAATCAGCTTCGTCCAACTAAATCTAATGACGTAAGTATTTTTAGAAGTCAAATTATATAAACTTTATTTTGCGTTTTCTTATATATACCTACCAAGTACCTACCAACGATGTTTTAAGTAAAAAAGTGATACCTTTTTACATTTTTTTTATTGTTGATAGGTACTTTGTTATCATACAATTGTTTTTATTATTGATAGCTACTTTGTTATCATACAGGGCGATCGGCCGTCTGGAAGTAAAGAAAATTTTGAAGATAAAGAAATGAGTCCAGAACAAAAATGGCAGTCTTTAGGGAAAATATTTAGACGTCAAAGTTTTGAACACTGGAACAAGTCGTCAAATCAGCAAGGGGAATGTTCATCTCAGAACAAACGTATTGCTGTTAAAAAAGTATTGTCTAGCTACTTTGGTAAAATCAAATCTGCTACTGGTGGTACTAATGATAAATGAAATTATGAGTAAATAAATATACCTATTAAGTTTTGTAATTACTGTTTTATTTTTACTACCTAATTTTAATCTCTATTTAGGAAGGCGATTCTGAAAGCTAAGCCATTATGAAATAAAAAACGTTTACGGCACTTTCTAAAAAATGACAAATGCCTGTCTGTCAAATGTTGGTAGCTTGCAACTATCTCGGTTATTATGCTAATAAGTTTGTTAGTTTAGTTGGTACGCAATTTACGAATTGTTCATTATCATCCTTACTAATATTATAAATCTGAAAGTGAGTTTGTTTGTTTGTTTGTTTGTTCCACCTTCACGCCGTAACTACTAAACCGATTGCTTTGAAATTTTGCAGACGTAAAGTTAGAAGTCCAGATTAAATAATAGGGTACTTTTTATCCCGGAAAAATGTGATATTCCCGAGGGAAAACAAAAATATTAGTATAGATGGCGCTGTGTGTATTCCTGTAGATGGCGCTTTGTGCCATCTAAAACAATTCAACGAATTACCTACTAATTGGAAATTTCACGCTTTAATCTGTAGCGCTTATTTGGTGTTAATCTACACTTATTCAGTGCGCTTTTCGACTCATTTATTTGCTATTTTTTATGTAAAAATACTTAAAAAACACAACGTGGTAACGTTGTGTAGTAGTTACGCTACTTGGCGATAGATGGCGCTGAGTGTTTATAAAACGGGGTAGCGTTGTGCTTTTAAAGTACTTTTATCGCTTTTAAATTTTGGTTCCTACCATTTTACATTGAATTGTGTATTTTATAGATTTTAGGTTGTTAAAGGTACATGGAATTGGTGTCTATGTAGTAGTTACGCTATTTTTTAAGTACTTTTCGCTTTTACATTTTGGTTCTAACCATTTTACATTAAATTGCGTATTTTATAGATTTTAGGTTGTTAAAGGTACACAAAATTGGTGACTATGTAGTAGTTACGCTACTTGGCAATAGATGGCGCTGAGTGTTTATTATTATATATTCAACGGGGTAACGTTGTTTTTTAAGTATTTTTATCGGTTTTAAATTTTGATTCCTACCATTTTACATTGAATTGGGTATTTTATAGATTTTAGGTTGTTAAAGGTACACAAAATTGGTGACTATGTAGTAGTTACGCTACTTGGCGATAGATGGCGCTGAGTGTTTATTATTATATATTCAACGGGGTAACGTTGTTTTTTAAGTATTTTTATCGGTTTTAAATTTTGATTCCTACCATTTTACATTGAATTGGGTATTTTATAGATTTTAGGTTGTTAAAGGTACACGAAATTGGTGTCTATGTGGTAGTTACGCTACTTGGCGATAGAGTGTTTATAAAACGGAATAGCGTTGTTTTTTAAATTATTCTTCGCTTTTAAATTTTGGTTCCAACCATTTTACATTAAGTTGCGTATTTTATAGATTTTAGATTGTTAAAGGTACACGAAACCATAGTGGCAACAATACTCAACAATTAGCAAATATATTGTACGCTGTTGTTTCAACGCTCGATAGATGGCGTTAGGATCGAGTTAGATGGCGCTATGGTTTCGTTACCGGCGAAAGTATAGGTTCCGAGCTTCCGTATCAACTATATTTTAGGGTACGCATCTAACGCTTATATTGATATTAATTGTTCGCTTTATAGGTTTGATTAGTCAAGTGTTATTTTTTCTAGGTAGATATTTAAAGTACTATAGTAATTTTTTTTCGTCGTTCTAAGGCGATTTGTTCATTGTTTACGTTGATTGATACAGTAGCTATATTAGTTAGGTTAGATTAGTGAAATGGTTTATTTCTAAGTAGATGTCTAAAGTAGTTAGGTTTTCGATAATAAAACGTATAATATAGTTTACCACTCAGTTTTAGTTTAGCATTGCAAATATAACCCTTATAGGAAATAGAAGTCTTTTAAATTAAAATGGGAGGAGGTATTTGTGGTAATGCGAAAATAACTTCTTCTGTTCTTTCACGCGGCTGAATCGATTTTGGTATAAAGGTAGTTTGAGTCCTGGAAAAGCAAGGCTTTACCGCAGCAGAACTTCTCATTCCCACGGAAAAATCTAAAACGCGCGTTATAACCGAATTCCACGCAAGCGAACAGCTGTTTGTTTGTTTGCCTGTCTTAAACGGCAAAACGGAGGTACTTAACGTGATTTTTCAACTGAAGGTAGTTGAAGGGATGGGTAGTCACATAGGCTACGTTTTATCTTTTTGGGACGCGAGCGAAGCCGCGGGTAAAAGCTAGTACTAAAATAATTTGGAATGAATTGCTTGTTTAATAAATTAAGTAGAATAAACCTTTTTTTGTATTTTTATTTTAATAGTTTTACGGCAATGGTAACATTTTTTATTATGTCACACATGCTATTATACGGGCAACACCAATAAAAAAGTTAACTGACATTTCTGGCAGCAGGCAACTCGAGCACGGAGTTCATTTTCTGCTTCTTTTTGTGTGAAATATATTTTTTTTCAACCATTGGTTTCGTTTACCAATACAGTATCGCGTTAATTTTTAAGTTTAACAACATCTTTAGTTGATAGTTTACTTAAATAAGTTAGTGTGTTCACACGCCCTTGAAAACAGTGTTTTAAAAAAATCTAGTGTCAGCATAGCAACAGCACTTCGGTACATATAATTCCTATTTTGAGGGATATCGTTCACTGTAAGAAGATAGGGTGCCTTTTTTGAAGTAAGTTTTTTCTTAAATTATTATTTAGAAACAGTATCTGAGTTGTAAAACAAAGTTTAATAGGGTGTACCTTTGTGCATTCGTTCCGTCCGTATAACAATACATACTTTATTATAGTGAATGTATAAAATATAACTTGCAGTTGTGCGAGGTGATTCGCGCAATATTCAGTGGTATCTCGGTAAAATGACATGAATTTTAATATTAAGTATCCACTTGAAAAGTTGCTGTGTATGTGACATTAAAGTGCATTATTTGCTTTTTGAATTCACATCTCAATGATAGGATGATGTCATATTTTACATGTAAACTTCACAGGTTTGTATCGTAATTTTGTTAAGTTATGTATTGTTATACACAGAGTGTTATGAGCTATTGACATTGCACCTTGAACATAACAAAACAACTTAAGACTGGTTTTACACAAACAATCACAACTTCCTGGCTGTAAACTTAAATGAAGAAACAATACTACTGATTCATTATCCATTTGTTGTTTAATAATAGATACTAATTGTAGGCACCCATTTGAATGTGTACCTTAAACAATGCAATCTTATAGAAATACACATAGGCATAGAAATAAATTTAATTGAAAGGTTCTCTATGCCTATTTCATAAATGATTGTCTTTTACTTCCTTTAATTTTGTTTAGGAACACTAGAACAATAGATGACAATTTATTTAAAATAATATAAAATTATTTAGAAGTTTGAAAGTTTTTATGTTAATAATGTTAAGTAAAAACTAACTTGCGCGTATTATATGAAAGTACAATATACAACACAGTACAACTAAAAATATTTTTACAACCTAGTGGTTCAATCAAACTTATGCCGTCTGTCTGTCCCGAAGGTTTATATGTATAATACATGCATATTGCACCCGTGCGAAGCCAGGGCAGTTTGCCAGTGTACCATAATAAAAAAAAATCATTTAAATATTTTGGTAGTATTTTTCTAATTAACCCTTTGAGTACCGTCATTATAGACACAATTAAAGAACAATAGGTTGCGGCCACCAGTGTCCTCGCGGTGTTTTGACAGTTTAACCCGTCGAGCGTCCGTGTTCCTTATGATCCAACGGGTGCACACGTGACATTTGGAGCATTTTTTCTTATGATCCACCGGGTGCTCATAAGGACGCTCGAGAGGTCCAATATGTGTTAATACAATACACAGATAGTGTGATTTTTATTGACAATCACTAATTATAAAATATTCCTGTGGACC